ACAGACCTGCAGGCTGCATACAAGTGATTTTGACAACATCATCAAGATCACTTGTACAAAACAAGCTGTACATGGCTTTGGCAGGCCGTTCACCCCACTGCGGCTGTCACTTCGGCTCAGTTGAGCCGAAGCTCATGCACATGCACCTTCGGCTGCTGTACAGGCTATAGTGAATAGCCCGTACAGCAGCCCTTCGGTTCGACTGAACCAAAGGGCTCTGGCGGCCGAAGAGAGCCGAAGGATCAGCCGAAGCTACGGCTGGATCCTTCGGCTCCTACGTGAATAACCCCCTTAGTGTTTAAGCAATGACAGCAATGAGAAGGTTCCTGTGTAGCTTGCCAACTCAGTAAGTGTCTCACCACCTCCATGTGGGGGACTGCTGAAGCTCTGCTTCCCCAAGGCCTGTAGCCAGTGGCAGAAATACCGCTATAGCAGCCTACGCGGCCGCTATGGGGCCTGGGGCCGGGGGCCCGGTCAGCAGCAGGAAAGAAGGCTGCGGTGCAGGTGTGCTTAAGTTCCATGGCCGTGCTAAGTTACTGACTTGCGGTCACGTGGAACTGTTGCACCTCAGCCTCTAGTGCAGGGGTCTCAAAGTAGTGGCCCAATTGCGGCGCATGGATTATTACCATCCAGCTCGCTGCTCCTGTCAGCTCTGGCAATCCCTAGCTCCTTTCGGCCGGATTACTAAGGTCTGCACTAGACCTTAATTGTGTTTGTGTATTCACCCCATTCATACCTTTTTATGTTTAGGTGCGATTAGGGATTCCTGCGTCAGGAACTTGTGTTTTTTCTGGAATCCCTAATCTGGCGTTTACATGTGGCAGCTGTCACCCATTCAAGTTAACAATCAGGTGACAGCAGCTGCATGTAAACGCTGGCACACCACATGTATTGGTATGTGATATGATTACATTCAGTTAGGAATCAATCAATATCCCTGGATGCATGATCAAGTATTAGGTTTTGGTTATCTGATGTATTTTCCTATTGCGGGACTGACCTTCTATCATGTAAATCTTCACCTTCACAGAGCAAGTATCCAGCCCAAGTGCACTATGGACTAGAAGTGAATGGAAAGCCAATCGTTCTCCAGCTGGAAAAGACTGAGTGAGTGCCCCCTGTGTATTGTATCTCTGTTCACCATCACAATAATACTGATCTGTAAAAGACCGCTATTCATATAATATTATCACTATATTATTATTATTATTATTTGTATACACAAAATAAAGTGTGATAATAAAATAATGGGTGTGGAGAGTGATTTAACAAAAGCTTGTCAGTCTATCGTAACAAGACTAAGGGTTCAATTTATAACCAATTCACGGAGCCATTCACCCTACAAATCTTTCTGAACATTCGTTCTGTGTGTATAGATGCAAAAACGAATGTTCTAAGATATATTTTCTTTTGAGGGTGAATTTACTGTATGTAAAGTAATGTAATACTGCATTTTTGCCACTAGATGAAGCTGAGGTGCGTAGGAAACAAGCATTTATTCCTTATGCTGCCCAGTTCGCTCTAGTGGCCATAATTAGATATTACATCACATACATTTGCTATTAACCCCTTCATGACTGAGCTTGTTTTTGGTTTCTGTTCGTAAATGACTGACACACTTTTGACATTTTTGCTGTGTGATTCTTCCACGTCAGTAATATACTTTCTTACAAAGTGCACCCACACATATTATATATTGTTTTTTAGAGGACAGATAGGGCTACATATTTATATCACATATGTGTGTCTAACGCCTCACTTAGCACAAATACAAATTAAAAAAAGAGGAAAAAACGTAAAAAAAAACGTTTTTTCCCAGTTTTGATTTGTAGTATTTTTTTTTAACAAAACCAGCACAGTTAAAAAAAATGCAATACATACATTCATTTATTTGTCCCTTATTTTTAATTTTTTTACACTTTTCACTATTTTTTTTAATTTATTTACACTTTTCACTTTTTTTATACTGACAAATTGTATTTATTTAATTATATCAGGCAGTCATTGTGAATTAATCTCACTATTACTGCTTGATAAATTAATACATTTTTTTTATTATCAGGCTGCTTCAAACTTCAGAACAGCCGATAATAAGTTAGTGACACTGATCCTGCAGCAGTTCAGGATTCAGCTGTCAGTGAATGTTTCAGAAAACTTAAACATTCTACTTTCAAGAATAGATACATTATGTGTCTAATACATAACATTTTGTATCTATTCTTGAAAGTCAAAAGATAAAAAAAAAAAAAGCCAGTATAGCTTGAGAGAGATATCTCTCGATCTATACGAGCTGTCAGAATGCCGGCAAAAGCCGACATGTGTGTCTGCTTTGCTGTGACTCTCAGACACCCGATATTAAGGTATCGGGTGTCTGAAAAAGGTTAACCCTTTCAGTAATGGATCTCTAGATAGTTAGACATCTATTACTGAAAGGTAACCGCTGATTCTCAGCGGTTAGCAGCCTTCTAGTGCAGCAAATAACTCGTCACGTACAGTGTACGTGACGAGTCATTTGGTCCCTTTGTGGCTGGACGTACAGTGTACGTCTCCCGTCACGAAGGGGTTAAAAGGATATATATCTCAGAACGTTTGTTTTTGCTTCTATTTGCACAGAGCGAACATTCAGAAAGATTCGAAGGGATAAATATATCCCTAAAACATTTGTTCAACAGCAGTTGACACAGGATACCTTAAAGCGGACCTTTACGCCCCTTTGACTAAAAATCCCATCAGCATGCAGCTCTGCATGCTGATATAAAATCATCTCACATTCATTAGTTAAATATAGTTTTATTTTACTTATCATTTCTTTTTTTTCTACTTCCTGGTCCTCTTGGGCATTAGTGATGCAGCCTGTGCCCAAGTATTGCATCCTGGGAAGGTTACATCAGCAGAGCATTGCTGGGAAAACTTATCTGTAATCTCATGAGATCTCAGGGACAGGCATTTTCCTCCCCTGAGATGATGTGCATGGTCACATGTCCTAGTCACATGTGTCAGACTTCCAGGAAGTACAGGGAGATAGATTCATATGCCCTTAGTAAAAATGGCCACTGTGAGAAGAATGGGGAAGAAGAGATAAATGAGGTATGCAAAGAATAAAAACCCGGCAATTATCTACAAGTATGTGTTTGTAGATCGTCATCACTAAACATTTCTAAAGGTGTATTTATGTTTATTTTGAAGATATAGGTAAAGTTCCTCTTTAAAGTGTATCTAAAGCCATGAACAGAAATTATATATATTGCATCTTCACAGTCCATAGGTGTGGTGGCTGCATTCATTTTCCCCCTGTATTTTCACCTGGTGATTCTGACACTTCCTGTTGTAGGGTGACAAAGCTCCCTCACCGTACTGTGCCTATTGAGGAACAACATTGCCGCCCCACATCAAGAAATGTGATTACAGGCAGTCCCCAAGTTACAAACATCCGACTTACATACGACCCCTACTTACAAACAGGGGCTATTACTGTACAGCAGGGGGTCCCAGGCTGCAGCTAAAGCGTACAGCGCAGCGTTCCAGTAGTTGTAATGCTACCGCGCTCATGCCGACGAGGAGTACCCACCTTTTTGGGGTCTGGTTTGTAGTACTGTACGTACATTACAGGAAGTTGGCTCTTGTTAGACGTGCAGACAAGGGGTCCCCACCTCTTCTTCATTAGAAAGATTTAATCTCACTTCCTGTCCTTGAGACAATAGGAACAGTGGCGTAACAACCGGGGGTGCTAAGTGAAAGGAAATCTAGCCCTAGGAAGGGAAATTCACTCCTGTGGGAGTTCTCATGGGAAAAAGGTGTCTCCACTGAAGCTTCACCAATCCTTGTTTCCACGACAACCCAAAATGTTCAAAATCCAATTGTCACAGGGACAGAAAGTGAGGTGAAATCTTCTGAACAGGGGCACACAGCAAAACAAACGTTACAGGGGGTAAACCCTTCCCTATGCTATCCAAAACTAAAAAAAAATTTAGGCTGGAGTTACACTTAAAAAAATGTACCTGTTCCAACTTGCATACAAACTCAACTTTAGAACAAACCTACAATCCCTATCTTGTTCATAACCCGGGGACTGCCTGTATAGAGCACCGTAGCATAGAGGGAGGTGTTCTGTATTCCACGGAAGTAAACTGATGAGGATGATAAATGCAGGACAGACAAAGAAGTGACAGGATGTTCTGATATCACTGGATTTCTGGAAGGATCAACTTTTTTTGCAGTTATCAAACAGATATAACTAAAAGCTTTTAATGGTATATTTAACAGACCAAAAGGGGGCAGAAACCCCATTGTTAGGGCTTTTATACACTTTAATTAGCCAGAGGAGAAGGAATAACAATGTAAACAGTAGTATAGGATCCCTGTGATTGGTCATCAAAGCAAGAAGTGAGACATCGGCACTCCAATTGCAAATCATAAACGTCTGTTTATTGACGTAAATGCAGCATAAATACACTCCGTGCAACTTTTCGGGATCGCATAGGATCCCCTTCATCAGGCAGAACAAGGGACGTCAGCCGTCGACAGCCGCAGCACCCTATTCTACTACTTGGAGAAAGCGGTTTTGAGTGCTATGGGTTCACTGACTGTATCCTGGTCATCACAGCAGTCACATGCTACAGAGCCAGATGTGTATGCCGTCTCTGTGTACCAAGCTGTCCAATGATGGTGCAGTGCACAGGGATTAGTGAATGCAAAAGTCACCCAAGAGCTATTTCTACAGTAGTGTTTTTAAACGGCAGTGGGTAAATAACAGCTGACGCCTCCACCGTTTATAAACGTACTGCATATGAGCATATGAGCTAATACAAATGTTTGTTCTACTGAAATGTTTTGAAAAATTGCAGGCACTTTCGGGCTAGTTCACATGAGTCGTTTTATCATGAGGGTTGTAGTCCACTGTCTGCTGGTGGTGGGGCCGGTACATTGCGCTTTTACCATTTTTTTGCAACTTTGTTGCAATGTGATTTCACATTCATGTCTATGCACCATAGCGAAGGGGACTTCAGGTGGACTTCAGGTGAGATCTGGTGCACGTGGTAAACAATCCCTTACAGTGAACAATTTTCTTTTTCAATTTTCTGTTTCCCTACAGAGATCTGCTCTCTGGTAACTATACAGAGACTCAATATCTGGATGACGTAACTCCTGTGACCACTATTCCAGAAGAATTGGTATGTAGAATGTCAAAAAATCATGTTTTATTTTTTTTCTGCTACCATCTGATCCCTATTGGGAAGATTTCCTTTTACTTCCTGCCCCATAGATACAACAGGAAGTGAGGGAAATCTTTCCAAAGTGAGGGAAATCCTCTCTTAGCCAGATCTCAGACATACAGTATGTCAATTTTACGCAGACGTATTTTACAGTATATTCAGTTGTGGTTCCTGGGTGTTATTCCTCTACTCCACTTTATTTATGTCCAAATGCTGATCAACACCCCATACAGTTGCTCATTGTGACTTAAATGCAATTTTTTTGGCTCCTTTTACAAAGATGAATTGTATTGTTGACTTGTAGTTTTCACTGTGGCTTAGATGTGCAAGAACTTGAGTAGGCACCTATGATGTTATGTGGTGGAACAAGCCACCTTGTAGGTCTAAAATCATTCAATCAACTCAATAGTGTCCTTCATACCACTATTTTAATAAGTAGGGATGCACCGATACTCGTACTCGCCCAAATGCTCTGATGCCTATCCTGATACCGGTACTCCTAGTATCAGGAAGCTGGGCGGTGAGTCATTTTGATTGGCTGGGAAGCCGGCTCCATGCTCCCTCGCCACTTGGTGACGAGGGAGCATAGAGCCGGCTTCTCGGCCAATTAGGAAGCCGGGTGCTTTCCAATCAGGAAGCCAGGCGGCGAGTCATCACCATCCCACTACCATCACTCCCCGTTACCCACCTGGTGATGAGGGAGCATGGAGACGGCTTCGGGGCTAATCAGGAAGCCGGACAGCGAGTCGACACACGCCGCCCGGCCTCTCAGCTAATCAGAAAGCCGGACGGCGAGTCATTGCATGCTGAGCATCTTCCTTAATCGGACTTCCGGTATCGCTGAGTATGGAAAAAAAATATCGGAGCTCGATACTAAAAAAACTTTATCAGAGCATCCCTATTAATAAGCCATATATGGTACTGATAACCATTTTACTATAGAGTCCTATGAAAAATTCCATGGTCCAAAGTGATGAGACACTCTATCATATGCTGATAACTGTCCCGTAGGGAGGAGCAAATCTGCCTGGGTTCGATTAGTAATCAGTTTGGTGAATCTTGCTCGAAATTAGCATACTTGCCAGCAAATCCCATTGAAGTCTATAATTCTGGCCATTTTTAGGGCTAATAAGCAAGCTATTGTCAAACAAAAGGCATGCGAAGCCAGGCATTGCACGTGGGACATGTACCAATGCCACCAATAAAAAAAGTAAATAAAACAGTATTTCTCCCTTCACAGACTTGTCCGCTCTATTTAACAGCCCCAACACACAATGGAAATATGGCTGCAGTGAGCCCACCTTTCATAGAGAGCAGGCTGGGTTATTCATTCCTTTAAATTATTGGCTCTTATTACTTAGTTGACAAAGGCAAAGGCTGTGCATTGCTTTTTAGATTGCTCTTTATTTCTGGTCGCAAATGCAAAATTTTGCAATATGCAAACTTTACAAATTCCTTGGGAATTGCCGCAAGCCTATGGAAGATGGAAACCCAAACCTCACCCCTACTGTCCCATCACAATATGGGTATATAACACTGGTGCTGAATGTTCATATCTGTCAGATTCAGTCATCACCAGGGATCGGCAGTTTATACTGTAGAAGTAGATTGTACCACCTAAAGCTTAACGAAGAGCAGGGTTAGCTGCCCCAATCTTCCCTTGTATGACACCTATAACTGTCTCTGTATCTCTTGCAGGACCACTGCTATTATCAGGGCCATGTAAAGGATGACAGCAGCTCCCTGGTCAGCCTCAGTGCTTGCCAGGGACTGAGGTAAGAGATGGAAGAAATTTTAAGTTTGCATGCAAATTACATTGTAATAGGTAAGCTGTAGATCAGGGGTGCCCATTAGGTAGATCGTGATCTACCAGTAGCCCTTCAAAGCTAATGCTGGTAGATCAGGAAGGGTGTGAGTGGCGGCCCCTTTATTCAATTTTGGTATATTTATTTAGCTGGTCACACATGAATACCTATTAGCCAGAGTCTGCTGAGCCAAGCTCCCTGACACCTTTCTGGTGGATACTGGAGGTTGAAGTGCTATGTATTACATCAAAGAATATTAGTTTACACAGCCTGTTGCACTGCACTGTTTGCAAAATACAGCAAGGTGAGCCAGGAGAGAGAGCGGGGAGAGACAGCCAGGGGAGAGAGGAAAGACAGCCGGGGAAGAGAGAGCAAGGAAAGACAGCCAGGAGAGACAGCCAGGAGGATGAGCCAGGAGAGACAACTAGGAGAGAGAGAGCGAGGGAGGTTTTTTTCGTTGGTAGATCTCATGTAGCTCGTCATTTGAAAAGTAGATCTTAACACAAAAAATTGTGGGCACCCCTGCTGTAGATGATATACTGTAGAAATTAGGAAACACGGAGCAGCTCTAACCTCTTATCTCCCATCCCCCTGCTAGAGCCTCGGTGCCTGCTAAAGCTTCCGCCAGAGCCTTCACTAAGCAATAGGTAAAAACTAGCACTCATAAGGGGATCCATCCATCCAATACTTTATTTGTAAGAAGGCATAAAAGCAGCAAATAAACAAATGCTTAAATGTTTCAGCCCCCAAACAGGGCCTTGGTTGTAGCCTATGACAAATGCCCAGTTTGGGGGCTGAAATATGTAAGCATTTGTTTGTCTGCTGCTTTTATGTCTTCTTACAAAGTATTGGATGGATGGACCCCCTTACGAGTGCCAGTTTTACCTATACACTGTAGAAGATAGGAGAAGGAAAGACCATAGATCTGCCCTCCAACCTCATTTCTCATTGCTCATGCAGCTCACTGCTCAGTATCCGAGTATTCAGTCAGGATCTGCACTCCAGCACAGCACTCTATCCATGTTACCAATGTGATCGGCACTTCAGGACACACAGCACACTCCTCAACATCCATGTTACACATGAGATCTGTACTCCAGCACATGTACCTCACTTTCTAGCATGCATATCACCATTACAATTTTCTGCCATGCCGATTGCATAGTTTCGATATATTCTGAGTCACTGACCCAGGACAAGTATTCAGATCAGGAGTTTTTAGTTTCTTCTTACCTACTTTACTATATGCTTGTTTAAGTAAAGAAAGTATTTGGGCTGAAACAAACTTTTGTGATGCAGTGCGGTAACGTGCCATAGCGCATTGCAGCGCCATTCATTTTTAATAGCTCCCTAGACAGACAGATAAATAACATTTTCAAAGCGACAGCCTCTGTACCTTTCTCAGTACAACTTGCCTAGAAGATTAATGGCAGTTGTTAGAGAATGTCTGTTAGCGATATTGAGGACTTTAAACACTTTCTTGTTGTTGTTTGTGGGTTTAATCCTATATGACCCGGTTCTTGTAAGTAGTGCTCAGATTAGTTGCATTAATTGTAAGTATTCTGTCCTTCTGCTCCTATGTTGTCCATAAAACATATTGTCAGCACACCTTCTTCATGCAGAAAAGTCTAATTGAATTGTAGCGATCACCCCTAAAGGAGCCGCTGGAATAACCGGGTCATCATCACTAGTCTGTCTAGGGGTTTGATCTTCAGCCTCGATGTTCGAGTTGAACGCCCAACAAGGCACTGTGCCTTGTGAGCCCTGATTGGCTAAAGCCTTGCACCTGACCACAGGTCAGGTGCAAGACTTTGCTCAATCAGGGCCCAGTACTCTGTAAGGCTGGGCACACACCTTACAACCATCGCAATACTTTTTTCTTGCGATGGTTGTAAGGTACTTTAAAAAACGTACGATCTGCCTATCTTGCATAGGCAGATCGTACTTGCGATGATCGCAAGCCACGCCCCCTGAGGGGCGGGCTTCCGATGACCGCAATGCCGAACGGGCAGTGTGCGCTTGCGCACACCGTCCCGTCCGGCTTTTATCTTACGAACATGCTACACATCCACCGAACATCGTACGATGCTCGGCGGGTTTTGAAACATGTTCGTAAGTTTAAAGTCGTGCGACCTTACAGTAGTAGAGGTCGCACGGCTTCCACACACCTTAAGATAATCGTACGATCGCGGGATTTCCCGCGATTATCGTACGATTATCGCAAGGTGTGTGGGGACCTTAAGAGCCATGATTGGGCAAAGTCATGATGAGTTTGCCCAATCATGGCTCACCTGTTATAACTGTAAACTGTATACACCAAGATACACTCAAAAATGGGGGGGCGCATGCGCAGAACGTGCTGGCGGCCGATATGGCCGCCACTCGCTTTGCATTTTCAGTGTGCGGTTTCAGAGGCTCATTGCCTCCAAATCCAAAACAGCATAAAAATTAGTTTTCTTTGAGGAAATGAATTAAAATGTTTTTAGTTTTCATTTGTTTCGTCAGAAAACAATTTTTTTTGTCCTGCACATGTCTAAGTTGAGTCCAGTATATGGCGTGCAATGAGAATATGATTACTGATGATGAAATTGAACCTGTACCAGGATATTCACACAGTATTCTCATATTCTTACTGGAGGTGCACTAAAATTGAAATTTTCAAAACCGAAACAAAACCAAAATAAAAAACATTGTCAGGCCAAAACCGAAAATGTTTTTTATTTTAATTTTTTCATTTTTTTTCCAATATTTTATTTTTATTTTATAAACTGTTCATTCATAACTTGACAACATGGTATGTTTACTATAACCACAACTATGAATGAACAGGAGGGGATGTAGATCACTTCCCATTCATTCATAATTGAGAATATAGTAACCATACCATGTCCTCAATTATCTACAAACACTCAGCAATCACTGATCACTGAGTGTTTGTACTTGTTCTCCTTCCTGACACACTGTCACAGGAGGCTGAGCGAGCAGTGCGAGAGGAGAGCTCAGCCTCCTGTGACAGCGCAGGCTGTCTCCGCCCACACACCGCTCTGCCGGACTGTGATAGGAGGCTGAGCGGTGTCGGAGGAGAGACGCTCACATCGCTGTCCTCCCGCAGCGCTCGGCCGGCTGTAACACTTTCTCTCCTCCTCGCTGGGACACAGAGCAGCGCCCAGCGGGGAGGAAAGAAAGCAGGGATGCGCCGATGTATCGGCAGGTAAATGACACTTTCAGCATTTAGCCAAAAGTGCCATTTTCGGCCGATATGTTTTGGTGGCCGATATATCGGCGCATCCCTAATTCTTAGCAGACATTAAAAGCACTTTAAAAGAAGTTCTCATTAATCTCCGTGTCTATAAGCACTGTAAGGAAATTCATTTTCAAAAATTCATAACAGAGGAATTCAGTGGAATATATAAAGAGTGTAGCTTATTTGATATTTCTTTTGACAAGATTGATTATAAAAGAGAAGAAGGATGAACAACATAGAAAAAAGTAAGATACTGTGAAAAAATAACCCAAGCCATTTAACTAGTAGAAGCCAGCCTAAAGAATGTTTTCACTGACTGGTGGAGTAAGCACCAAACCCCTCTCAAGGGTTGCAGGCTGGGCACCAGGGCTCTAGAGTCTTTGTTGTGATCTTTGAGAAGGAATAGCTTTATATTAAAAGCAGCTAGAGAGATCAGTGATGGCTCGTTCTAAAACCTTTTGCCTGTCTGTGGTTATATAAATTTTTTAAAGTCCATAGTCTGGACATAGGTGAACTTTAACACATGCTGGATTGTCAGATAGCCAGTTTTCAGTCAATAAACTAGTATGTGGTGCAAACAGAATTCTATACACCTCTCTTCTCCTCTAGTGGCCTTATTGTGACACAAGAACAAAAGCTTTTGATTGAGCCCCTAAACCTGACAGAGAATGGAGCCCATGCTGTGTATGCCTATCAGGACCAGGATGCCCCTAAGACTTGTCGAGTGAACCATACCATGTATAATGAGTCAATAATAACTAAAACAGCTTCTTTCAGCACAAATTCTGAGGTAAGACCATAACAGTTACAGCAAACTGGAAAAATGTAAATGGTAGTTTAAGAGCTAAGTATTTTCCTTAATAATTGGGTCATGTTGAAGGGTCTGTACTTGATGTACACATTTACAGGCTCTGGACTCCTCAAACACATAAAGCATACAACAGGGGACCACTTTCCATGCAATAATTATCTCATGCCAAAACCCAATGACCAGATACCATCTAGGAGACCCTGCATCAGTCAACCGGTCCATGTTGGGTAGCTCTAACCTTACTGTTTTTTTCCTGGGGACAATAATCACCGGGAGACATAGTCATGGGGAATCTAAACTTTTGCATTTGTCACTGGAGCACAGGGGAATTCCCCCATCATTTTGTGAGGTTTCAACCTATTTTCTGTTGCATCTCATGGGATAGGGAGTGCAGGGTAATCTTCCCGATGGGGGAACATGAGGCAACAGAGGCCTGACAGAGGCTTTTGGAGCATGCAAAACTATTTTGTTAGGAGCGTGGTTATTTTAAAATGATATTAAAGTCAAAAGGGTTTTAGGTATTCCAAATGCTGATTAAATCACCTACAATGGATGCCGCTTCTTGATGTTGAAAAGTTTTAAGGGGTTATTCACTTAGCTGCAAAAGTCATCAGAGTGAATAACCGAGCCGAAGTGAAGTGAGCCGAACGCTGTTCGGCTATTCACTTCAGCCTGGTCCGGCTGATTTCAGCCGTAAGTCGGCTAAAATCAACCGTACATCGGCTGCCTTCGGTCAGCCAAAGTGCAGAAGAAGTTCGACTCAGCCGATCTAACATCTGGATCGGCTGAGCCGAAGCTCCGGCAGCTCACTCGCTGCTGTTCTTCCCTATAGGGGCCGAACGCCAGTGGGTAAATAGTTGAATGCCGCCGAGCAGCATTCAGCTTGGCAATTCTGCTCAGTACCACCGAGGCAGCTAGCAGAATAGGAAAAAAGTTAAATGAGCGGAAAAAAATAAAAATGTTGAAAAATGATAAAAAAAAAATATATATTTTAAAGAAAAAAAAAGAACGACCCAACAGCAAGCGACACACTCCCGTCGCATAATGAAGCATCCGACAGATGACGCTAAAATAAAAACAATTGGGCGGAGCTAGCGGTGACATCATCACTAGCTCCACCCAACTGTTTCCTATTGGCCGGCACCTGCCAGAGTCTTCTAGCAGGTCCCGGGCCAATAAATAACAACTGGGCGAAGCCGGTCGTGACATCACGGCCGGCTCTGCCCAGTTGTTATTGTTTCATGACAGATCAGCGTCCCCCAGGTCATTTGGAGATGCTGATCTGTCATTACAACTGGCTCCGCCCAGCTGTCATTTGCTTGGAGAACGGTCGGCTTCGGCTGACCTTTCTCCATGCTTCGGCTGTCACTTCAGCTCATTCGAGCCAAAGCATATGGGTTCGGCTCAGCTTAGCCTTACAAGTTATGCCTTACAAGTTATAGTGAATAGCCCGTAGACTGAACCGAAGGGCACATGCGGCCGAAGCGAGCTGGAGGATCAGCCGAAGCTACGGCTGGATCCTTCGGTTTCATCGTGAATATCCCCCTTAGTTTCCTGCTCAAGTCATTTTTGGGTGTACTGTGAGCCATAATACTGCAAAAAAAAATTATCTTTAAACCAGTTTGTCTACAAAATGTCTCTGGAAATTAATTTAAAATGTTTGCAATCTTGAATATGCTTGTACTAATTATTTTTTTTGATTCTGGTAGGTACAAGAATACCTTAAAGCTAGAAAATACATTGAGCTGTATATTGTGGTGGATAATTCTATGGTAAGACCATTCAAGTAACGCTGTATATATGAGGTATATGTGGTATTAATGACAAGTAAAATAGAAGTAACAAGTCATTTATAGAAACACATTTTTTTGTTATCTGCTTTCTTGTTTCTGATAACCAAGGAATTCCGTTAGGGCCGCGTTTTAGCATCTAAAGCAGCTTCCATATATGTATTTCAGCCATGTGCTTGGTAGTTTGTCTGGAGTTCAGCTTTTAGTGGCTGTGGAGCCTCCAGATGAAGCAATCATTTAACATGCTAGTTTCAGTGCAGTCCTATCATTTGTGGTGAAGCTGTGTCCTTCCCCAAACACTTCTGGTGCTCTTATTATTAACGTTATCTATGTATATCAGTAAAGAAGGCTGGACTTCAGAATATGTTTGCTCCTGAGACATCCTATGTTGCTACTACCACCCCTGGTGGAACTACAGCGTTGCAGCGGTTGCAATTGAGACCGGGCCCTGGCGTTTTGCCACTTGGGGGGGCAGCGAGGAAGAAGAGGGCCCCCCCGAGATCGTGCCGCTCCTTCCCTGCCGCACAGTCACCCGCAGCATGTACAGCATGTTGGTGATATTTTGTAGTGCTGACTTTTATTATAATGTATTGCTGGGACTTGTAGTCCCGCATACCTGGTGGTATTCTGCATTGCTGTATAATCATTATACAGCAATGCAGAATAGCTCCAACTATGTAGGACTACAACTATATATGAGTACTTGTGAAAATGCCCCAACACTAAACACAGATACCGGTGTTCTGTTGAGAACGCCGATGTAGTCGAATTTGCCAACCTCAGCATCTGCGCTTGCGCACAGACCAGAATTATTGAGGGAACCGGGATTTATTCACAAAGTATTTAGTTTAAATTGTTAATTGTGACCGTTAATAATATTCCATCCGTAATTTACTGCCATGGACGGCATATCATTAACGGTCACAATTAACCATTACAAACAAATACTGTGTAAATAAATTCCGGTTATGTAAGCGCAGATACTGGGTCAGCGTTCTCGACAGAACACCGGCTCTAAAATTTTAAACAAACGGCTGCCTGAGGTCCCGCGCTTGCTGGGGACCTCAGCAGCCTTTTTGTTAACCATGCGGTGCCATGGCGGTTGGGGCGGGGGCCCTTCATGGTTTCTTGCAAAGGGGCCCTGAAGGTTCCAGTTACGCCTCTGACTACCACTATGACCTTACCTAGGGTTTTGTGCTCACCTACTGTGACCTCCTCTGCTACAGGTTCCCTTAGGTACTTTTCCTCTCCAGGCTCCCTTCCTTAATCTCTGTTTATGCATAGTTATCCAAGTCAGGGCTGTGTACTTTTGGTTGGTCCCCTTTCCTTTAAGGTCATATGTACACCCTCAGAAGCTCATTCACATGTCTCCATATTGCTGCCAGCCCATTCCATGGAAGGCCCATTTACACCTTTGCATTGCAGTACAGTGCTGCAATGCTAATTAGGTCTGTTAGGACATTGCAGTAACATTAATATTCAATGTCCTCAAATGCACTATCCCAACGGACCTTTACCACACATGAGTTGCAATGCGCCACAACGTACAGTATTACACTACCTTGCCTTGTAGTACACTCTGTTGGCAAAATGCTGCATGTCTCTTCTTTTGGCCATTCTGGTGCATTGGTAGTCCATTCATTTGTATATGCTGCTTAATGCAAAGCATAGCAATGCGTGTGCCTTAATGCAACATACCAGAATAGCATGGACTCTAATGAAACATAAGGTCCCAAGGAAGGCCACAGGAGTGTATTTATTGACGGCACACCAGAAAATATCTCACGGCACACTAGTGTGCCGCAGCACAGTGGTTGAAAAACGCTGCATTAGAGGAACCAGCAGAAAGATCTTACAAGGAATCAAGGGGGAGGAGAGACATGGAAATAAACTGATCAAGACCAGAGCACAACTAAACTCTAGGTGGTTCACTACACTGCCAATGCCCACTAATCATACTCCTGGCTGAACATTGTGTAGGTGGGTTCCTAACAATTATGCATTAAATTTGCCTACACATATTCCTATATGAAAATACAGCAGTTGTGATCAGTGACATGCTTTGCCTTCTATACTCTGTGAGGCATTCCCCAGCCACGCCCTCAGCACACCCCACCCCCAACACGGTAACTAAGCTATGTGTGGTGGAGGGAGGGAGGAGGAAGGGAGGAGACAGGGAGAATCCTCCCTGTCCCTCCCTTGCTTGTCACTGGTGAGGTATCGAGATCGATGTCCTCAGTGTTTTTTTTCTCTTTTTTTTGATTGGACAGCTTGGACCAATGGCGCTTTGCCATTGGTCCAAACCATCCACAGAGCTCACGCCTCTAACACAGAGTAGAGGCTGTGACAGCTCTTGCCTCACTATGTTCGGTAACACAAGCAGTGGGGAAGCCCGCTGCTGTGTAACCTAACTAGCTGTCAAAAGCCAGATGCAGCACTGCCTGTAATTAACAAGCAGCGCTCCGTCCATGACAGGTTACACAGCGGGGAGGATTTCCCTTCTCTGTAACTTGTAACAAGCCGATCTGAATGGAGAAAGAGCTGTCAGCTTCAGACTTGAAGCTGACAGCTTTTTCCTCCATAATACTAGATGAGGCTCTGCCCCGCCTGCCTCCCCTGATCGCATGTCCCTGATGCATAAATATTACAATCATCAGAATAATTTACTTAGCAAGCATGCAGGGACCAGTCAAATTTAGCACTTTATGAAGTCCAGACTGCCAAAACGATTCCCAATATAGAGATGTAGGTAGTTGGCCTTTACTAGTTCATTATCAGACATGGATTTTTTTCTAGAAATAAATTTTACTGTATAATGCCAACTGTTCAGATTTAAAGCAATGTTCAAGATGCATGACCTATAATATTAACACAAATGGTTATTTTTTCTAGTTTATAAAATATAACGGTAATGAAGAAGAAATCCGGACAAGGATATTCAAAATGCTGAATTACATGAACACAGTAAGTAAATACATAATTGTGACATCTGGTTTACTGAGCAACGAAGGTTTTGTGGTATGATTTAGAAAATATAAACTAGCACACCAGAATTAAACATTAAAAAATCCTAAAATGGGCCTTCCAGCCAAAGAAACTATGTCCATATTTTTCCATATTGACATCCATATTAAAGCAGAAGTAAACCCTTCCTTCCACCAGCAAATAAACCTAAAACCCTTTGATTTTTTTTGTACATGTCTTCTAAAAGGTCATTGGGGGAATATTTGCCATATCACCCATACTGTTATAAAGCCCATATAGCCCACACTGTCCCTCCTCCTCCGCCAACATTTTGGATTTCCGGTAGCCCCACTTCAAGGGTTAAGAATAATTTTTCTTCTTTAAGGGAACTTACCTAATTGGCGGGAGCTGTAGCCATAGGGGAAGAATTGCTTGGAATGTCAGGAGTACTCAGTAGCAATCTAGGAGGTCCTATGGACACGTTTTCCTGCCTGCCTTTGAATTTGGCAGAATGCAATCATTTATTCCCATAACAAATTAGTAACAAAGGCATTGTTGGAGGTGTAGTGGTTAAGTTCACCATGCATGTTACAATTAGTGTATTGCCTCAGTTACACTTGTGGTCAATGTTGTGCTCCCCAGTTACATTGGCAGACAGTGTAATGGCTTGAGTTACAGGTTACAGTTGTCAGACTAATGCCCCCTTTAAACTGGCAGTAAATGTGGTGCCCCCTTTAAATTGATGTTAAAGGAGAACTATGGGGTTAAGGCTTTTCCCCATAGTTCTCCTTAGGGTAACGGGAGGACACAAACTAGCATCCTCCCGTCACCCTAAGCTCAGTATACCGCGAGCTACAGCCGCAGCTGAAGCGGATCCCGACAATTGTGCCGGGATCCGCCAGCTGCGTGAGTGACAGCTGGCTCTGCCTATCTAGAGGCAGAGCCAGCTGTACCCGCCCCCGCCCGTTCCCCCGGTCAGCGCTGGCGGATCGGAGTGGGGAGGGGGGAATCCAGCCCCTCCCCTGTCACGGCAGAGAGCTATGACAGGATCGAGAGGTGAGCGAACGCCGGTATGTGTTCGCTCACCTCCCGATCTACTGAGCCGACCTGTGACAGTCTCATTGTCACAGGTCGGCTAGAACTATGAGGTGAGTGAAAAGCACTCACCTCATAGTTCTCCTTGAAGTGGTTTTAGTACCCCCTGCAAACTGGTGGTCAGCTTCCATAGTAGCCTTTTAATATCTATGTTTTTATACATTTGCAGGGTTATTCACAAAGGGGTGAAGCGTTTGGAGAAGGCCGGAGAAATTAACAATCGAGGCCAAAATAGCTGATTTTGAAAGATGCTCCAATTCAGCTCACTTTCCAGTGCAGCTATGTTGTCCTAGATTGTTCACTTCTCCTGCCTTCTCCAAACTCTTCACCCTTTTGTGAATAACCCTGTTGGTATGTTCCTTTGATCCTCTCCTTGCTTTTGCCCCAAATTAGACCAGCCCTTAGTCAGATTACCCAGGCTGTCCATGCCCCTGTTGTTTTTGTTTTACCCTCATGGTGCAATTATATCCCTACATAGAGTAAAAAGGCATATTTGTTCTGTGATTTTTTTTTTTTACCTTAAAAACATGCCAAGAAAACATCCCTGTCATACACCAAACCTGGAATACTGTAATCTGCAATTGGTTTCATTCTAACGTAGTATTCTTGGCGAGTTGACACTGCCTGTGGATTTTAGTGAGTCAGCAAGTTGTCGTCCTTTTCCCCACTTTCATTCTTCTCTCTGGAGGTATGCAACTGAATTAAGGGACATTTGCAACAGAACGGTCAGTGCAGTGCCTCCTTAAAGTTGGTGGTGAGTGGTTGTGGTGCCCACTTTACATTTAAAGTAAATAAAATTTTTAGAGCCAAAGAAAACAGAGTAACGTCCAGTGTCCCTGCCAACCAATTAAATACATTTGATTCACAATTGAAAATGATATATATATATATATATACATACATACATACATACATACATACATATATTCATATTCTTTTCTTTTTTTATTATTATTTTCAGGTGTACAAGCTCCTAAATATTTTTGTTGCACTGACTGGCATGGAAATCTGGAAGACAAATGACCATTTTCAAGTAGTCACAGACATGGAGCTTACTTTAAACAGGTTCACTGATTGGAGGAAAGACAATCTGTTGCCCAGGAAACCCCATGATAATGCCCAGTTTATAACGTAAGCCTTCCTTGTATTTATCTTTTATCGTTAAAAATGAATCAGTGTTGGCAATATGAAGGGCTGATTCATTTACTACAGTCTGACGTTTGGCATTTGCCTACAATTGGTATTTATTGCTGGTTGTTCAATGTATTATAATGAAGAGGCAGGTGTTATCTACTGATGGTTGACATATTCATTCTGCTGACATACATAGACATCTGTCACATACCCTGCATGTTGCCATTCATTGATTGGTGAGCTGATTGGACTTTTGGTTTAGTTACAGCCTCTGCACATCATAAAGAATGAAGTGAAAGCCACTTATAGAAAATATATCCAAACCACATTGGTGCTGCTGCCGGTCCTAACTGTAAAGGATACCCTATTAGCTTTGATTTAAAAAGCAGCAAATTTAGTACTACTTTACAGGAATGGAACACAGCTTCTCCAACAAGTTATATATATCCATTTTGTTAACGTTGTTGTAATCTATGTCATCAAAATGAATACCACAGGGAGCATTCTTCTGTTTCACAACTTCTCAAGTATGCAAAACAAAACCAGTCAAAGACAGTATGAACAATATAGATAGGTGTAGACTTCCACTTCCAAATATGCGTTTCTATATGCAGATACCACCAGCATCAATACTAAAAGGCCGCACATATGAATACTATAAATTAACCTTTTATTATCTCAATATAAACAAAATAACACAACTCACCCCATGCCAAGGTGTGATCCTTGTGTCCAATCTCACCTTTTTGCCCCACATCCAATCACTATCAAAATCCTGCCACCTTCACGTTCATAACATCTCCAAAATACCAAAACACCACATAGCTGCTCATCCACTCCCTTGTTATCTCTCTTTCAACTATTGCAACTCCCTCCTCATTGGCCGACCTCTACACAGGCTATCCCACCTTCAGTCTATAATGAATGCTGCTGCTAGATTCATCCACCTGACCTACCGCTCAGTGTCTGCAACCCCCCTCTACCAATCCCTGCACTGGCTTCCGCTCCCTTCTGCCCCCCATGTGCAGGGCCTTCCTTAACCTCTTGTCTTGATTTGTATTGTCTTGATTTGTATTGTAAATGTAATGTCTTTCTTATATTGTAAAGCGCTATATAAATCCTGTATAATATTAATAATAATAATTACTCAGCAATATAAAACCCCATAAAACCATTAAAAAAACTTAAGCTCACTCCCTTGGTTAGTTGATGCAGCATAAACAGCATTACCTCCTGGAGGAGTTCATGTACAGATGGATGCATGGACCTATTGTGTGGGTCTCTACATAGGACTTTATGGCTATCTTTCTATAATAGACTTTGATGGGGAGACACTCTTTCTTCTACTTGGGGGAGGTGTACCATACACAGAAGGGAGACTTTCTATTCAGTGGAGCTTCATCACATAGGCGAGACTGTTCCCATATGCATTCCAGCTATACTCAACCATATTAATTAGGGATGCACTGATGCTGGTTTTTCGGTATCGAGTACGAGTACCCATATTTTTTTTTTTGGTACTCGCCAAATACCGATACTGGAACTCTTATTAAGGAAGCCGGGCGGCATGTAATGACTCACCACCCGGCTTCCCGATTAGCCTGGAAGCCGTCTCTATGTTCCCTCGTCACCAGGTGACTCGCCACCTGGCTTCCTGATTGGCCAGCTCCATGCTCCCTCGTCACCAGGTGACTCGCCACCTGGCTTCCTGATTGGCCAGCTCCATGCTCCCTCGTCACCAGGTGACTCGCCACCTGGCTTCCTGATTGGCCAGCTCCATGCTCCCTCGTCACCAGGTGACTCGCCACCTGGCTTCCTGATTGGCCAGCTTCTTGACCAATCAGGAAACCGGGGGGGGGGGGGGCGAGTCATTACACACTTCCCGGCCAATCAGGAAGCCGGGCGGCATATAAAGACTCGCCCCCTGGATTCCTGATTGGCCAGCTCCTCGACCAATCAGGAAGCCGGGAGGCGAGTCACCAAGTGACGAGGGAGCATGGAGCCAGCCAATCAGGAAGCTGGGCAGCGTGTAATGACTCGCCGCCCAGCTTCCTGATACCGGAAGTTCCGGTATAGGAAGCATTTGGGCGAGCACAATTACTCGGTATCAGCAACGTAGTATTGGTATCGGAGCATGCCTAATATTAATATACACTACGTTTTATGTGTTCTTTCAAGATGTTAGTGCAACAGGAGACAAGAGGCTTCCATCCCCCAAGACACACTGTGCAACAGGGTCCACATAATTATTGTCCATGGATATACATTATGTAATTTTACTCCTTCATATGTTTGATATACACAGGGCCCTGTGTGTGAGCTTAGCTTTATTTTATATCAGGATAATGAAGGTTAATTTATCTTATTCCTATGTGTGGGCTATTAGTAATTATGCTGGTGATATCTGGATAAAAGAGACACATATTTGGAAGTGGAAATCTACCCCTATCTATATTGATGCTGTTTGATGTGTCATGCATCCAAATACACACAGCACCATGGCTTGCAATTACCAATTTAACTTAAGATATTTATGAATATGTAATAGATAATACATTCAACAAAGTATTAGAACCTTGGTTCTCAACTGGTGGGTCAAGACCCAAAAGTGGGTCGCGACTCCGTGTTCAGTGGGTCACTGCGTGCCTTCCACTTTTCTATGCGAGAGGCTCCTCAGCCTCCCCCTAGCACAGTAGTGTCAGTTCTCACGCTGAACAGACACTCAGAATATGCTGCCCAGTGCCCGGTGTCAACTTGAGGTGGGGTAGGTGCAGCTATGGCCGAGAGGGAGCTCCATACATACGTGCATTGCTTACAGCTCCCTCGCGTGAACCGATAAAGGTGCCTGGACCAGAGTGACGTCACATTCTGGCACCTCTACAGTGCGCACAAGGGACAAGCAATGCACATATGGATGGAGCTCCATCACAGCACAGCAGCCCACACTGGACCCCAGGCTGAGGATCCACTCCAGTTCTCGTAAGGGAGGGAGACTGGGTGGATCTTATAAAACAAAAAAAAAGAGGGCCCGTTCACACTAGTGCAGTGCGTTAATCGAACAGTCCTGTGCCACGCAATTGCACCTACTACACGTTCTGGTGTGGGAGGTGTGTTGCCTTGCCCTTCATAAGAATAGCACCCCAAACGCACCTCCCACCCACAGTTCAATCGCTGGATCCGGAACGCATGGTACCGCTGTGCCATGTGTTCCATTGCAGTGTGACTTGGGTTGCGACTCACTGACCAAGGACAAATGTGGGTCCTGAGGCTTACACAGGTTGAGAACCACTGTATTAGAATAAGATACACCATGGTCCAATAAAAAAGGACTTATTCATTTCTAAACCTTTGGAGTGCTGGTGACCTATTTCTTCAACTGGACACAGGCATCTGACATTACTTGGAATGGAGAGAAGGTAGTAGACACAGGATGCCAGAGAGATGAGCATACTATCTTCCCTACTGCAGGGGAGTCTTTTTTGACCTTAGAGGGTCTCTTTAAATGCCAATTTTTCTTTTTTGTCCAGTTGAGTCCCCGTTAGATATAAGTTGTCAGCTATATGTTTCTGTTTCTTTCAGTAATGTTGACTTTGATGGCACTAATGTGGGATATGCTTGGACTAAAGAAATGTGCAGTGATAGGAGGTCTGCAGGAGTAAGCCAGGTGAGACATGAATACTTCTCACAGTCTGTAACTGATCATAACTACTCTTACAATGTTTTTAAAACTTTCTTTAAAGTGACAATAAACTCAGGAGTTAAATCTTAAAAATACATTCAAGCACCTTAACTATTACCAAAAATGTATCTTATTTCTGTATCAGTAAAGGATGGACTTAGGGTACAGCTGGCTCTGCCTATAGATAGGCAGAGCTAGCTGTCACTCACGCAGCTGGGCGGATTCCGCCATCTACGTCGGGATCCGCTCCGGCGTCTCAGTATACCGCGAGCTGTAGCTCGCGGTATACTGAGCTTAGGGTAATGGGAGGACGCTAGTTTGTGTCCTCCCATTACCCTAAGGAGAACTATGGGGAAAAACACTGACCCCATAGTTCTCCTTTAACGTACAAGTTGCAAGTAGAACACTCTAAACAACGTTTCAGGGTCTCACAGGATCCCCTTCATCAGGCAAACTTCACTTGTTGTTTAGAGTGTTCTACTTGCAACTAGTACGTTAATAAACACGTACTGAACTTGCTTTGGAGTGCCAGTGTCCATCCTTTACTTATATTTTATCGGAGGCCACCCGCTGACACCTGCTGCACCCACCTTCCATTTTTGGAGCAGCGACTTTGAGTGCGATGGGTACACGGACTGTATCCTTATTTCTGTATCACACGGCTGTAGATCCTCAAATCATCTCTGAATTGGTGCGGACACTGTCCTTCCTTCTGGTGGGTGACCATTCTTCTGATGGACTACAATCTCAATACAAATGAAAAAACTAAACATGAGACTGTAGTCCATCACAGGAGTGAATTTGGAGCAGTGACTACTTTACAGCACACAGGGACCATGGGGAACAAAAGTAGTCACCCTCCAGAAGGAAGGACAGTGTCAGCACCAATTCAGAGATGATTTGAGGATCTACAGCCGAGTGATACACACATAAGATACATTTTTAAGGTACTTGAATGTATTTTTAGGATTGAACTCCTGAGCTTAGTGTCACTGTATTGCCTATGCCTGTGTGTCAGTAGTGCCCTGGGCTACTTGAGTGAGTGCTTGTTAGCTTAAGGGTCCATGTTGATGAGCTGTTGTTCTCTTCAAATGCTTCGCTCCATTTGAGTCTATAGGAATACAAAAACAGCTGAAGCAGGTCAATTCACCTACAATGAATTCGGGCTGATTCTGGAAGCATCTCACAGTGGTGTATCTTGGTTTTGTGCTGCCCTAGGCAAGACTAAACCCGAGCACCCCCCCATCCCTAATCTAAACTAGTCCCACCCCTTCCTGTTTAAGACATTTTGCATAACCTGTCTAACCTGCGCACGGTGTATCTAGATTCTGACAGGTTGTGCTATCTATGTAGCGGGACGCTCTAGTTCTACCTTTGCAATAGCCACCTTCTCTGTTCCTGGTTTGATGGGCTCCCTAGTTCTGCAGCTGCAACACCGATCTTCTGCCTTAATATGCTGGGCCCTCTAATTCTGCAGTTACCCATCTTTAGCCTTGGCCGCTGGGCTCTGTAGCTCGCCCCGCTCTAGAGACATAACCCTGAATGGAGTTTATAGGCTGCACTTCCTCGATCTCACCACCACGGAGGTGCCGATGAGCACGATGACCATCTGGATCTCACCCCTGGGGATCCTGCGGAAGCTCCTCCCCTCCTGAAGTCAGAAATTTGGGTGCCGGTTTCCCATGGAAGTCCGAACTGCCAGTGCATCTGGACGAAGGTCACACACACCAATACATTGCACAGCACATTCACCAGGAAGAGGAAGGAGCTGCAGCATGTAGGCGGCATAGGTGGACACGTTGGTCCCCCAGTCAAAGAAGCACCAGGTCCAGGAGTACTGGCAGTAATTGATGAATAATTTATAATATAATGTATTTATTTTCTCTCACCTAACTGGTTTGGGGGCAGCATTTTTTGGCGCCCACCTGGAAAGTGCCGCCCTAGGCAAATGCCTAGTTTGCCTTGCAGTAGATACACCCCTGGCATCTCAAACTGTTGTCATGAGCATGCTGCATTTGTCTCTCAACATTGGCCATAAACATTCTCAGGAAAGACAGTACATCCTCATGGGGAATTGATATTACTGACAACTCTGAGTCAGAAAAGTGGTAAAACGTACACAGTGGAATACTAAAGCACAGAAGGCTATACAACACCCTAAGCCCCCCATTGCCCACCCATTGCCTAATTTTTCTGTAAGGTTAAGTTACCGCAAAACCCGGACTCCTCTGTGAAATGTGCAGGACCAACAACAAGGCTGCATTCTATACAGCAGCGACATTCCGCCACCCACTGCTCTAGGTGTAGTCAGAGGTAGAGAGAGAGACAAAGTTTGCCCCCACTAGCCGCACGTCACGCGGAGAAGACGGAGCTTTGCATTCCACATAGAAAAACAAAGGAAAAAAGTTTGTTTGCTTTAAATATTTATATAAAATATTTTTATTAAGTTCACAAGGTGAGAGCATTACAATTTAATATCAAGGAAGAGAAGTACAAAAAACAAACAAACAAGGTACATCAATACAAAAACAAATGTTTAGATGTCACAGACATTTGTAACCGATAGGGCCCATCTAGAGTAATAGCAGCCGTTTACACAGTCTGTTAGGTGTGATTCGTTTTGTTCCGAATTGAAATTCAGACGAATATTGGCATATATACGGACATCCAAATGAAAGAAATAACAAATCCTAGCATATCCAAATTTTCCGATAACGAAATTTCAGATGCATCCAAAATGTTTCCCTAATGTCATTGTGTCATTGTCAGTGTTAAATATAAACATAAAAAAAGTAGTGAAGTCCCCTCCCAATTCATACCAGACCCTTTAGGTCTGGTAGGAATTTTAGGTGGGACTCAAACGCCAAAAAAGCAAACCAAAAAAAAGCATGGGTTCCCCCCTTAAAATCCCTTACCAGATACGTTGATTTGAGCAGCAGCCTGGCAGAGCTGGAATGGGGGGTGGAAGGGCGCACCATACCAGGCCACATCCCCTCAACATGGGAAGGGTGCTTTGCCTGGGTGGGAGCCCTGGAAAAGAACATTGCCCCCATGTTGATGAGGACAAGGGCCTCTTCTCCACAATGCTGGCCCCATGGTTGTGGAGTTCTGCGGGCAGGAGGGCTTATCTAAATCTGCCGCCCTTCCCTCCCCCCCGGCAAAGAACCCTTCCCATGTCGAGGGAATGTGGCCTAGTATGGTGCAGAAGGGGAGGGCTGCACGCTCGTTCCCACCTCATTTCCTGCTCTGCCAGGCTGCTCCTCGGATCAAGTGTCTGGAAAAGGTTTGGTTCTGTGGACAGTCAAAAGTTAAAGAAAAATTTCACTTTTTTTTCTCTAATGTCACTTTGCTGCAATGAGCGTTCGTTCCTAATTATATAACGCATCCGAAAGTAACGAAAATTCAGATTCAGATTAATCCATATAGCGAAATGAATTGACTTTCTGACCTGAATCCCAAAAAACGAAATAACGTAAAATCTGAAACAAAACACATTTTTTTGCTGGGACACATGTCTACAGTGTGTCTCCTACAAGAAGCAAGGCTTCAAAACAAAATATCCAAGAAGCAAAAACAACTTCAATATGGAAGAAAAAAAGAGAAAGAAAGAGACCAGAAAGTGAAGCAAGAAAAAAGGGAATGAGAACATATGGAGGAGGGAAAGGAGAGGGAAGGAAAGAGTGGAAAAGGCTTACCAGGGGTGCACGATCATTACATTTCAAGCAACCAATGATCAAAGTCAAGGGGCAAATTGGTCAATAATAACCCAAGGGTCCAAAACCTTATTGAATTTAGGCATATTGCCCAGTAACTAAGCAGAAAGCTTCTCATTAGAAAAGGTCCAGTGGATCCTAGACCTAACGTTAATGAAACACAAGGAATGAATGAGCCAAACGTTTGCAATAGTCTGTTATGTAGCTGTCAGAACAGAAAACTGTTTTTTCTAATTGCAGTTTTGCTAAATTGTGTGCGCAATGGGGAGCAGTGGGGAGGTAGTATGGGGTGTTGTATAGCCTAAACTTCTACTTTAGGACGATGGGTAGGGTTAAAAACTCTTGTTTGACCAAGATACACAGGTTATGACTGATGACTATAAACCAACATTTTATACCCAGCTTCTAATAACAGTACATGTAGTTGATACATAAAATAGGATGCATTAAGTTCCAAATTGAGTTCAAATGACTTCCTAATCTTTCCTATTCCCCTGATCTGAATTTTTTGGGGAGTCATATCCTGACCTGAGAACTTTAACATTACACCAGGATGATTCATCTTCTGTATGTTATGCTTTCTTTAAGTTCTGATCATTCATCCCTCTAACAATATTCTTAGGATCACTCTGCAGATCCTTTTCTAGTTGGTGCAACCATGGCACATGAAATGGGACACAATCTCGGAATGGATCATGATGAAGGCATCTGCAAATGCCACCTTAAAACTTGTATCATGGCACCTTCTTTAAGGTGAGTGAATCTAATACTAATTTTCACAGCAGCTGAAAGTACTGTAGATGTAAACCCAATCACTAAAATTAGGGATGCACCGATACCAGTTTTTCGGTATCGAGTACCAATATCCGGGCAATCAGGAAGCCAGGCGGCATGTCATTGCCCACCACCCGGCTTCTCGTTTACCCAGGAAGCCAACTCCATTCTGTTTGGCCGGCTCGATGCTTATTCGCTGCGAAGTCGGCTTCCCAGCCAATCGGCATCGAGGCCGGCCAAACAGATCTGACAATATGGTGACATGACATGACCCCCACCCTGCAGGCACCTCATTCCCCTCACATAGATCCTTAGCAGCAGTCATTACTGTACCAATCCCTCAGCCAGCTGGCCATACACCACTCTCCAAGCTCTCCCGGATCTGCCCACATCTCCTGTGTGTACAGCGCCCACGTGATCGGCCCTCTGCCTGCTACTGCGCATGCGCAGACTGCCCAGCGCTCTCATTCAGAAATCCTGTGCATGCGCAGTAGCAGGTAGAGGGCCGATCACGTGGGCGCTGTGCACACAGGAGATGTGGGCAGATCCCGGAGAACTTAGAGAGCGGTGTCTGCCCAGCTGGCCGAGGGACTGGTACGGTAGTGACTGCTGCTAAGGATCTATGTGAGGGGCATGATTTGTCTGCAGGGTGGGGGTCGTGTCGCCATATTATCAGATTTGTTTGCCCGGCTCGACACTGATTGGCTGGGAAGCCGGCTTTCCGGCCAAACAGCATGGAGCCAGCTTCCTGACTCCATGTTCCCTCGCAAAGAACCCTCCCCATGTCGAGGGAATGTGGCCTAGTATGGTGCAGAAGGGGAAGGCTGCACGCTCGTTCCCACCTGTCAAAAGAAATCTCCCTCCAACTGGAAGTTCCAGTATCGGGGAAGGTATCGGAAGATTTGTGCATGTACGAGTACTCACCCAAATACTCGGTATCGGCACCGATACTAGTATCGGTATCGGTGCATACCTAACTAAAATGCAATGTGGAATAGGGAATGTACAGCACAGTGCGTAGACTAGTGCAGTGTGGAAGGTGAAGTGTACAGTGCAGAATGAGGTTGTGTAGAAATGGTAATGTTCAGAAAAATATTTATATACATTGAGGCACGTTGTTAGGCAGCCCATTTTTTTTTAAATTGGGCTATCAGTGCACCTGAAATGGTGCACATAAAATTTGCACCAATAGAATGCCATGTCATTTTTTTTTTTATATAAGCTCATGTATTGCTAGACTTACAATTTAACTGCAGATAAAAAAACTGGCTTGCCAAGTTGATACCAGCCACTGTGTTTTACTTCTCCACTGCTTGCAGGCAGGTGAAGCTTGAATAGATGGAAGCATCAAGGGGTTACATTCTTGAACCAGAAAAAAAAATCCCTCCATAAGGCCTCTTTTAATTATTTGTGGCACTTACAAGGTTGCACCATCTGAGGTCTGCAAGGGGAGCAGAAGCAATTGACTTTTAAGAGTGGCTGTTTTTGGGCTGCTATCAGCCATCCTGACATACAGTGTATATATATGCTCACCGGTATGTAACACATAGCAATCAATGACAATCAATGTGCGGTCCGGGGACTGAACATGCATTGAGGACGGAGTGCCTATGATATGGACACTCCAGCCTCAGTGCCACAACACATATTAACTAGATGAGACAAATTCATGTACCTGTTTCAGACGAGTATTTCTCATTATATTAGATGCAGTAATGGATTTCCGACATGACCCGGCTATTCAGGAAGCAGGGCGGCGAGTCATTACACGCAACCCAGCTTTCTTAATGGGACTTCTGGTATCGGCATTTGGTATCGGCATTTGGTACCGGCGAGTACCGAAAAAAATATCAGTACTCATTCTCGATACCAAAAAAACTTTATTGCTGCATCCCTACTTTCAACATTAATATCACTGTAAAGGAGAACTATAAGGTGAGTGCTTTTCACTCACCTCATAGTTCTAGCTGACCTGTGACAATGAGACTGTCACAGGTCGGCTCAGTAGATCGGGAGGTGAGCGAACACATACCGGCGTTCGCTCACCTCTCGATCCTGTCACGGCTCTCTGCCGTGACAGGGGAGGCGCTGGATTCCCCCCTCCCCGCTCCGATCCGCCAGCGCTGACTGGCGGAACGGACGGGGGAGGGGGTGGGTACAGCTGGCTCTGCCTATCACGCAGCTGGGTGGATCCCGGCACAATTGTCGGGATCCGCTTCAGCTGCAGCGTCTCAGTATATCGTGAGCTACAGCTAGCGGTATACTGAGCCTAGGGTGACAGGAGGACGCTAGTTTGTGTCCTCCCATTACCCTAAGGAGAACTATGGGGAAAAGCCTTAAACCCATAGTTCTCCTTTAAGCTCTAAATACAATTTGTTCCTTCAAGTGCAGGCTCATGTATAAGCTGCTTACCTCTCAACATAAAAACGTATGCCTGACCTCCTGAACACTGTATCCCATTCTTTATCTCCCTATATACAGCAATGTCCTGCCAGACACGTTCAGCTCCTGCAGTCATCAGAGCTATCAGAATTTCATTGAGCAACAAATGCCGCTCTGTATAAAGAACAAGCCAAGAAAAGGTGATATTTACAATGACCCGGTGTGTGGAAATAAATTCACAGAGGCTGGAGAGGAATGTGACTGCGGCATGGTTGAGGTAATTATATCTCATCACCTATAAACTTATCTGTGTCAGAGAAGCAGCACCTTTCCCTTATTATCCCTTATATTCCCCAGTTATTTTACTTTTTCTAAAAATGATAAGATATAGTATGCGGATTTATTTTTTGTCGGCTCTAATGAATCCGATCTGTATTACCAATTCAAAAAGTCTTTATGAATGGTAAAGCAAGTTCCACCCAGCAATCCTGGAACTGTGGAATGGCCACTTAGGCCCAGGTAGGGAGTGGTAGACTCCCCGTGCAGCATTATGAACTGCATGTGTCGGGAGATAGGAATTCCACACCACTGCTGCCCCTCTACTCCCTGCTCCCCCGAGGCCAGGCCTTGGTTGGCCTTGTGGGAAATCCGGCCCTGAGCATTAGCGGTCTATATTTCTTTCTTATACTGTATAAGCCCACAAGGATGATTAAATGATTAAATCACAAATTATTATATGACAGAAAACAGACATGTGATCCATCCCCAGTGTAGTAAGTAGAGCCATTTATACCCAAGTAGGATTGAATGACCACCTTCCTCTTCTCATTATAGGAATGTGCCAACAACTGCTGCGATGCCACTACATGCAAATTTAGACCGGGCACTCAGTGTGCAGAGGGGGAGTGTTGCACAGATTGCCAGGTAAAACTTGCTCTTCATTTTCAAATAAGGAAAACAAATGGTTCTGGAACTCGACAAAAAGAGCGAGAGAAAAAAAAAGAGGATGAGTTGGTTATACAGTTTGGTAGAGAAGCTACTGGTCCACATCATTTTAATTATTACAAAAAAGGTATGCTGGACCCTTGGGTAGAGGGTTAGAGGGTTTGGTGGGAATGTGTACTAGTATTCGTTTATAGGTTAATTTGTGGGTTAAGTTGGCAGTTCTCTATCTATACATGGGCCCTACAGGTGATCCTTGTGTAAATCTTCAAAGAAAAGAAATGACGGAAGCACCAACCCACTAGTCAGTGTGTCTAGAATGGACTTTGTCAGACATAGCAGTTAACAAAGGAACCGCTTGTAACAAGAAAAAACCTTGTGTGTCTGTGTGCAGGGCCGGATTTCCCACAAGGCCAACCAAGGCCCGGCCTTGGGGCAGTAGGGAGTAGAGGGACAGCAGGGGTGTGGAATTCCTATCTCCCGATGCCCGGGACATGCAGTTCCGGGCGCCGGGTGGGGTAGTTGTTTTCTACATTTGCCCTGCTTTGGGCAAGCAGAGCTAAATGTGCAGTGGGAAAGCCACCGCTTGTTTTGTACTCAGTAGGGGGCAGCAGAGAGAGTAAATCCGGCCCTGTCTGTGTGTGCTTGTTTTCTCACTGCAGTGATGATCAACTCTCAAACACCTTTTCTGGTGTAACGATAACATTCCACAACACAATGTCCTGACCACATTTACATTGGGTTGCAACATTAATATGACAATGGAAACAAGTTTGCTTTGTAATATTGGACTTGTGTCAATAAAGGACGAAGTTCTATCGCAGTCAGTGTGCCAGTGACTCTTCTCTGTATTGCTTGTGATTGCAGCGCCATCCGCTTATCACTGCAGCACCCACCGCGGACCTTGGGATTTGCCAGTCAGGAGTGCGATGGGTCATGTGCAACAGTAACATTACCATGAACACCGGCAGAGAGAATGCATTGCTTTCTCTGATTAGTAAATTGCCCCATGCATGATGCAATCTCATGTAGGTGACAGGGTCTCTTAATAATGCATTGAAAAAATGTTGTGTATAAAGCTATAACCTATTATTTTTCATTGTACTGAAACCATGTAGTTAATGTGTTTGTCCAGCCAACATTGTTTAGTAGAGTTGGGATGGGTTACAAGAACCTTTGTCAAGTTTTGACTGAGCCTCCAACAGCAACAAAGACAAAAATAAACCTAATTTTCCTAAGTAGAGTATGAGAAGGCTAGAACCCCTTTCAGATTTTTTTCTGACCCCCACAACCACCAGGCCATTATTTATCTACTAGAAGATGAATATTCTATGTTTGGCTCTTTGCTACTAGACATGCAAGCTGACCAGATACCAGGTAAAATATTTGATTTATAAAAATATGATATATCATTGTGTCTCCTCACAGCTGAAGACTGCAGGATCAGTGTGTAGACCAGTTAAAGACGAATGTGACTTGTCAGAGATGTGTGACGGGAAATCTCCTATGTGCCCTTCTGACCGCTTCCAGGTTAATGGAGTCTCCTGCATGAGCGGAAAAGGTTACTGCTACAATGGAAATTGCCCCACTCTCCAAGGTCAATGTAGGAGATACTGGGGTCCAGGTAACAAACAGCCCTTCTGAACAATTTATACTCTGCCAATACTTTTTGGCCGAAAATGGACCTATGGGCAAAATAATAGATAGATAGATAGATAGTAAATGGCCGAAAATGCGGTACATCTCCAGCTTCTCTCCTTCCCACTGGGAGCCAGCTGCATGCTTCGGCCTGTGTCCTCTCCCATTCCTGCTGCTTTCCCTCGCCTTTGTTGGCATAGGCAGTGGGGATTGAAAGGGACCCCAAGCCAATTCAGCTGGCGGCGCACAGTAGAGAGGAAAGAAATTGTTGGGAGGCCGAGCGGGCAAAAAGCACCACAGGGAGGTGGAAAGGGCAGAGCTTCAGGATCGGTAACTATGTTAAATAATTACTGATCCTTTAATGTACTAAACAAACACTGAGTGATCTCTACTGACCACTCGTGGGGGAATTTATCAAAACTGGAGCAGATAAAATCTGGAGCAGCTGTGCATGGCAACCAATCAGCTTCTCTCTTCAGTTTGTTCAGTTAAGATTTGAAAATTAAAGAGGGAGGCTGATTGGTTGCCATGCACAGCTGCTCCAGATTTTGTCTGCTCCAATTTTGATAAATTCCCTTCTCAGTGTTTGTAAATAACTGAGGACATAGTATTTAGTTACTGTGCTCCCAGTTATGAATGAACAGGAAGTAGTATGCATAACTTTCTGTTCATTGATATATGGTGACATAGTAAATATTTACTATCTGCTCACTTTATGAACGAACAGGAAGTTTATGTTAGGATCCAGAGCGCCTCCAGGTGGTGCTGGAGCTAAGCCCTGCAGTTCCTGTGCTCACCTGCAGGTGTCTGGGTAGCCAGGAACTGTTAGGTACCAGACCACCACTTGGTGGCGCTGGAACCTGCAGCTCCAGTGCTCACCTGCGGGTGTCTCCCAGTCTCTCAGCACTTAGCCATCACCTGGTGCTTCCTGGGAGGGTATTTAAACCCTCCCTACAGTCAGGATGATGGCTCAGTATTGTTTCCTGTTAATCCTGAGTCCCCAGTTCTGTCGCCATTTCCGGTGAAACCTGCTTCCCATCCTGAACCCTGTTACCAGTCCTGAACCCTGTTTGTGTCCCGAGCCCGGTTACTGTAACGTCCTACAGTGCCGTGACGCAGCCGATGCGTTCCACGCTGGAACGCGGAAGTGGCTGTAACGTCCCGGAGTGCCTGATGCGGCTGATGCGTTCCACGCTGGAACGCGGAAGTAGAATGCCGTCAATCCGCCGTTCCTATTTAAACTCCGTAAGACGTGAGCAGGGCATTCCAATATTGGTGTTGCTAGGCCTGCTCACGCCGGAACCTGCTACCACAGAGCCTGTCTCCCTGGGATCTCCTCTCCTGGATTTGGTTCCTGGATTACCTGCTCGGGACCACCTTCCTTGGACCACCTACTATGCCTGGAGGGGTTGCCCCTGGAAGGAGCTGATCTTCCTCCCACCGCATACTAACCGCAAGTACCTTCTATATACACTGCTGACCTGCTAGTGCTTCATTGCCAAGGGAGATCAATATAGTACACCGTATTAGAAGGAGTCTAACTGGAATGTTGACGCTCTCGCATGTCATGACCTATTGTATGTGCTGTAGTACCTAAAGAATTCGACTCTGTGTTAAGCAGGACAATTCCTGTTATATCATATGAAGCATTATAATATATAATTACTCTTTCCTCATAACAAGTGTGCCGCCCCAATAGGGGTTAAGGAACTTAACAAGTTGCCACCCACGGAGTGACTTACTGCACTTGAAAGGACTGTTCCAGATTTCATCTTATATTTGAATTGTGGATATATGTTCTTTCTTTATTTTCAGGTCCAGAGGACAAGTTACAAGTTCACATTTATGGACTTTAATAGTTGTTAATTGTTTATTTGCATAACTACCGTTATGATGTCAATAGTGGCACTACCATGCCAGACGGGGAGTGTGCCGCCCCAATAGGGGCATAGAATATGAGATGCATAGTCTCAGTTAATATTAGCATTGTTATATAGGTTAGAATTTATATAGTGTGATTTGCCTAACTATTTTCTCATAGCTAAATTCATGTGTTATCCTATGCTGCCATCTAGTGGCCTTTTGTTGTAATGTACATGTTTTTCTGTAATTATTCCTCATGTGACGATGTATTTCCCCCTAGTGTAGCCCCACCCTTCTTCCTGTGTGCAGTACTTCCTGTGTCATGGCCACAGTTGAAAGCCACATGTAACAAGGACACACAGGTAATCTGCACAGTACGGAGGAAAGGCATCATTTTCTGACCGCACAATACTATAACCGTTCAACTGCTGTTCCTATCATCTGCTGTAACCCTGATGTTAAAGAATAAACACCTCTTTTGAATGAATCGGTATTGCCGAGTTCAGCTATCTGATGAGGATTGTCCGCAGTGAGTATATCTGCTTATACAGGCCAGGCATAGAGGTCTCAGAAAGGGATATATCTCGCTATCACAACGATCGGAGTCAGAATAACAAGACTATTAGGAGCAGTTTACTCATTTGAGTAACATAGCTTTTGTTTATTTTGGGCTAGATGATGTTAGAATCCCCCAACTCCCCGCTAAAGCCTGGGAGTGACGCCAGGGATTCAAAACTGAGTGGCCTTAAAAGCTAAAGACAATCCGCAGCTGAGATCCGTTACACTAATCGCCCCCTGGGCCCTGACAGTTACCCATTTGCAGTCCTAGATACCTCCTGTTGCCATTACCTGCCTGTCCTCCTGTTGCCATTACCTGCCTGTCCTCCTGTTGCCATTACCTGCCTGTCCTCCTGTTGCCATTACCTGCTTGTAGTCTTGTTGACGTTACTTATTTATGTTTGCTTTTGGGTGTTGTTTAGTGTTGCTGTTTAATAAACTCTATATAATCCATTCTGCCCTGTCTGGTGTGGTCATACGTGTTTGGTCTGCCTGCGTGGGTGCCTGCGCAGGTGTGGGGTCACCTGTGCCGCTGTCTCTGACAGTACAGAGGCTTTCTGTCCATTTATGACTGAGTTGAGAGTACATTTTTACTATCTCCAGATTGTGAATGAACAGGAAGACTCTGTACTGAGAGCTTCCTGTTTACTGAGTGCTGGGGCTGCAGAAAAAAAAAAAAAAGGAAGTCTGTGTCCTCAATATCTTCTATGTTCAGACCCCTGATATTTCCCCAGAGCCCCTAACAGTAAAGTAAAAAATAAATAAATACAAATAAAACAATTTAAAAGTAATTGAAGATATTCTAAAAAGGTTGGAAAAAAAGTAATTTCCGGTTTTAGTTTCTTCCTCACAAATTAGAAAGTTCAGTTTCAGTCTGAAAATGTCATTTCGGTGCATCCCCAGTTATTACTAAAAATAATTTTCCCATATACAGAAAGTGGGTGTTTAAAACGATTCTGCCCGAGGTGTTGAATACTTTAGTTATGCCACATTCTTTCCTCCTTTATATAATACGTTCTACAACTGCCAGATCAAACTAATGTACCGTGAGCTGTAGGTATAATCATTTCTAGCAACAGTTCCTCTGTGTTAAAAAGCTTGAGAAAGGTTGTTCTATCATAATATGTGATTGTGAATATAGTATCAGTAGGAGTAGACATTTCAGTCCAGGAGAGGAGGTAGTACAACTGTGCAAGACTGAAGGGAAAGCTGGAGTTTAGCTTAAGGTTAAATGCTGAATATTTTACATTGTTTAAAGCGCTCCTTTCCCCATATATTTAAAATATCAACAAACGCACCTTTAGAAATATCTAGTGATGACAATCTACAAACACATACTTCTAGACCATTGCCGGCTTTGTATTCTTTGCATACCTTTTTCTCTTTTCTTTCCCAGTCTTCTGACAGTGGCCATGTTTATTATGGGCAGGTTGTTAGCTCTCCTTTTTACTTCCTGGATTTCTGGCACATGTGACTAGACATGTGCTTAGGACATGTGGCCATGCACATAATTTCTGGGGAGGAAAATGCCTTTCCTTGAGATCTCATGAGATTACAGATGAGATTTCCCAGCAATGCTCTGCTGATGACAAGGCAATCCCAGTGTGCATTGCTTTGGCAAACTGAAGCCATTTTGCACTTTCAAAGCAGGAAGTGAACGCTCTGCAAGTATTTCACAATCACAGCATTTTACACCTGACATGTCTATGTTATTATTAATCATCATACATAGAGGGATGCATTGGTAGAATTAGATTTTTTCAGTGTAAAGGTCCGCTTTAAGTGATTCTTTGTGTATGTTCCCCTTTACATTAGAGTCAGTTGTAGCAGATGATTCCTGCTGTGATACAATGAAGAGAGGGTTTTGTCAGAAAACTGGAGCTGGTGATCACTGTACATCCAGGTAAGTGTAAATTGGTAACCAAAGTTAGACATATAACATTTGAAGTTTGCTGACATCCACTTGCATGGGGATCACATGTGGCATATTTGATGCAGCTCTCAGCAGCCTTCCGTGTGTCCATGGCTAGTGCATAATACTGCATGTAGAAAACGCTAAAAATTTGTCACATGTGAAAAATTAATTGATTGTATTATTATTCATCCTCTGACTCATCATCTCAATGCAATCCATAAACTTAACACATACCATGCACCTGTGCTCAGACTATGGACATTCACGTTTTCCTGAGGTTTGAGTTTAGTGGTAGCAATACGTTCAAGTTAATGGTTAAGGTGATCCTCTCCCAAAAGGAAAAACTCTCAATTAGCCAAGTTCTTGGAAAGACTAAATATTATTCTTACTTCTCCTGCCTCCTGGGCTTCAGAATGTTGCTCCACTGAAAAGTAGTTCCCGACTAGTGTTACTACGAAAACTAACTCTGAAACTGAGACTGACTATCTTCTGCTCACATACAGCTCTCAATGGTTCATCCAGCTGTCCTCTACAACATTCCTATGTCTTGTATGGGAGGAACTAGAGACACCATAGTTGTGATGTGGAGGTTGTTGGGAGGGATGATTGAGGAAGGCTGTCATTTTCAGGAGGCAGCTCATGGATGAAATGTGTCCCCATTTTTATGGGCTGCCTCCAAGTGGGATGAGGCTGTTGGGATAAGGGATGAGGCTGGTGGAGCACTGGCAGAGGTAAACACAAGTACAGTTGGCAGAGCCATCTGCTGAACACATTGTAGAAGAGTGGAATGCAGTGGGATGGATCTTGGGCTACACCTTGAATGTGAGAGCCCTTCTTCTTGTGCACATTGTGGCCTTGTGGCCTGTGAGTGCAGCTCCACAGGGCCACTCACTGGGAACCATTTACCTCTACCCACCCTAGCCCAACCTGTACCTCCTGAGTCTCCTTAGTCAGCCTCACATACCCTGTCATTCCACTGCCCCAAAGTCACCCAGGGGCCCCTTACAGGAGGTGTGTCATTAACCCCTTTCTGACTTTAGACATCCTAGGGACCTTGAGAGAACTCTGAGGGCCGCTCTCTGACTTTATTAACCCCTTTCCTCATCTTGTCCTCCTAGAGCCCCAAGCACAGTCCCCTGGGCTCCCCTGGGGCTCTCACACCCAGCTCACGACTTCCCTGGTCTACACTGTGGCCCCTGAGCAGAGTCACCTTGGAACCCTTTAGAGTTCTAAAAGCATTGTTTTACCAATCCATGGCAATATCAAATAACCTCCCCCCCTGTCAAACATTTGCTGCATGAATTTTCTCACAATGGTATGAAGCCAAAAGGAGGTCAAATATGTATAAGTTCATTTCTTTTCATTGATTCACTGTGGCTCCCTTCAATTGTATTTCAATGTGGTTTACATACTCTCTAAGATTGTGGTCCTTGGATCTAATCTTTATGATCTATGTACGCAGGGATGTGAAGTGCAGAGTGCTATTCTGCTCTGGGGGTTACTCACAACCCATTGCTGGAAGCGGTTACTGCACTATGTCAAACCGAAATTCAGACTGCAAAACCCTGAATCCAGCTGTGCTGATCGAGGATGGAACTTGGTGTAGGAATAACAGTGTGAGTATGGATTATATGATGTTAGTGTTATGCACTTTCTGCCCTTTCCATTGAGCCTTTTTGCATATATGTTCTTTTTTTATTACATATAGACTAGGGGAAGGGTTAGACTATTTGCCAAGTTTTCCTTGCCAAGTCCCTGCTGGACAGCTTCACCCCTCTATTTATCCCAGCGTCCACTGTCACTTAGACAAAAAGTGTCGGGAAATACAAAAACTGTTGATTGTCACCATAGCAAAGGGTTAGAAAAGATCCTCCAATGGGGACACCTGTTTCTATACCCAAACTGTTTGAGAACTGCTCTACCCCCTCATATCCAAATGCATGCCCATGGAACATCAATGTTCAGTAGAGGTCTCTGTCCAACCTTAGCATCCATAGAGCAAGTAGAAACTAGCACTTGCTATATCGCCTGTTTCTACCACTCTAAAATGGGATTTCTGTTCATTTTGGAGAGATCTCTATTATTTCCTGTTGCATCTTTAGGACAGGAAGTGAAGGGAAATTGCAGGAAACAAATAACTAACCTGACAAGGGTTTTAAAGTGGAAGTAAACCACTGATTTAAAAATAAATTTAAAAATGGGCCCCAGGGGCTGTTTGCCATATTATACTAGAGTGCACAGCATATTAAAGTAAGGTAACATGGTGCAAATTGTGACTGGTTCCCGATGAACCGGCCGACATTCACAGGCTTGGTGCCACCGTCGCCCAGCATGCCTCGATCAGCTGATCGAAGGGACAGGTTGGAAAATTCTCAGCCGAATGGAACAGGCAGACAATCAGCTTAACCCCTTCCCAACCGATGACGGGACTATCACACAGTGTTGTAGTGGTTAGCACTTCTGCCTTGCAGCACTAGCGGTCCCTGGTTCAAATCCCATCCAGATCACCTTCTGCAAGGTGTTTGCATATTCTCCTCTGGGTTTCCTCTGGGTACTACAGTTTCCTCTCACACTCCAAAGACATGCTGGTAGGTAATTGGCTCCTGTCTAAATTTGCCCTGTGTGCATGTGTGATAGCGACCTTAGATTGTGAGCTCCTTGAGGGCAGGGACTAATGTGAATGTGTACTGTGTAAATTGTCGGCGCTATATAAATACCTGAAATAAATAAATATCCTGTGATTCGGTACAATAAGCGCTGGTCTGTGAAGGGACTAGTGCTCATTGAGTTACTGCTGTTGATGGGTCCGAGGCAGACCTTTAACAGCAGATTAGGTGGTCACAGCGAGAGGTGATCACAGAGTCGGCAGCAGCTCACTGTGTTTTGTAAACTGTTAGCCGGCTGTGTGTTACAAAAACGATACAAAGTATCTCTGAAGAGAATACTGTATTCTACTCAGAGATACTAAGTATCAAAGCCCATGTAAATAGAAAAAATAACTCCTTAGTGCCCCCAAGTTTTTTCTTAATTATTAAAATATTTAAAAAAAGAAAAAAGTTTAGAAAAGTCAAAAAGTTTAAAAAAAATATGTTTAATAAAAAAATGATAAGAAAATATAGTGCCGAGGAGGTTATTAAAGACCGGAGACAAACATACCACATTCTAAAATTGTATTTCACTCCTTGTATTTTGTGATCTATAACTCCCAAAATAAACCGAAATCCCAGACATATGATAAACCCCATAAATCAGGACAAATAAAATAATGTATTATGAATTACTTTCTACACTAATTATGTACACATTTTTATTGCCAACGCTGTGAAAATTTCTTTTTTTTTTCTTTTTTGGTATTTTTTATAAAATACGGTTAAACAAACACATACTGTTGCAAAAATGGCAAAATTGCTACGCTCCCCAGAAGCGAAAACATTTTATGAAGCTGTGTCACTAAGGGGTTAACACATTATGGCAGGCAGATGTGATCCTTTCCCGATCTGTTCCCCTCACTCACTGGCACTTCCATCTTCTCATAGACCTCTTCTGAGTTCCAAATCTTCAGCCACTTGATTGGCCGGACACTATTGATGTAACTCCCACACATGCTCACAGGAAGTACTTCATCTTGGCAAGATGCCTGTCAGCACTTTTGACAATTTTACATTCACTTCTGCTTTAACCCTTCCCTAATTTATCTAAAACTAAATCTAAAAGTCTGGGTTTTACATGTGCTTTAAGCCATCATTTTGCAGTATGCTGAAGCTGAGATCAATGGATTACATGTGTATGAAACAGAAGCCTAGGGTGCTCTTAAGCACTGCTCATGTGCTTTGAAACCCTTGGACCATAAGGCTCACCATAGACTTAGGGGTGTAGTAATCAGTGGCGTAACAATCACCATTGTCCTAGGCGGCCGGTATGGGGCACGGGGGCCCGGCCAGGACATCCCCCTGATGCCGTGCGGGCCGCCTGGGTCGCTATGGCATCTCCGGCTGCTGGCTGTCACTGACGGCTGTGAGAAGGAATGCGCCGCTATTCACATGTGCAGCGATGTGTTCCTCCTTACAGCCGCTGATGAGTCGGTGACAACCAGTAGCTTCAGAGGAGGTGGCTGGGCCCGTCGACAGCAGCGATGTAGGAGGCGGGGCCCAGCAATCGAGGAGGTGGGGCTTAGCTATGGGGGGGCGGGGCCCGGGGATCGAGGAGATAGGGCCCAGTAATGGAGGAGGCGGGGCCCGCAAGCAATCGCGGAGGAGAAGGAGGCAGACAGAGGATTGGAGCAGACAGGTAAGAGGGCTTGACCGCCCACCTGAGACCCTGCAGAGCCCACCATAGAGAGTCTATAGTGGGCTCTGCAGGGTCATCCTCAGGTGGGCTGTTTAAGGTTATCAGGTGGGCTTAACTAGAAATCACAGGGCACCATACAAAATTTTGCTATGGGGCCCTGTGATTTCTAGTTACGCCCCTGGTAGTAATAAAAAAATTACATATGTTTTATCTTTGAGCTCCATTAGGATGTTTTTTTATTACTATTATAATTGTGTGTCTGACTGATATGATGCTTTTGTGGGGGGGTTTTTGGGTTTGTAATGTTGTTGGTATAGTACTACATAATATATTTCATTTTGCAGATGTGTAACAAGGGGAGATGCATCTCTGTTGCTGATGTTCAGAAATGCTCTGCCAAATGCCCAGGACATGGGGTGAGTGCACCAAATAAGATAGCAACATCAAAATGTTTGTGCCGGGCAAGAAGCAATATCGATCTCTCCTCTTTTCTTCTCTTCTCACGATAGAACTCCTGATCTCTTCTGTTCTCAAGATGGAACTTCTCTTTATAGAACTCACAATATCTTCTGTTCTCATGACAGAGCTCTTGATCGCTTCTGTTCTCAAGATAGAACTCGGGATCTCTTCTCTTCTCACGATAGAATTCCTGATAGAATTCCTATCTCTTCTTTTCTTCTATTCTCAGAAATCCTGATCTCATCTTAGGATAGAACTCCTGATCTCTTCTCATCTCAATATAGAACCTCTCTTCTGAAAATAGAACTCCTAAACTCTTCATTGCTCACGATAGAACTCCTATCTTTTCTTCTCTTTTCTTCTCTTCTCTTTTCTTCTCTTCTCAGAAATCCTGATCTCATCTTAGAATATAACTCCTAATTTCTTCTCATTTCAAGATAGAACTTCTCTTCTCAAGATAGAACTCCTGATCTCTTATCTCAATATAGAACTTCTCCTCACTTCTCAAAATAGAACTCCTAAACTCTTCTCATCTCACAATAGAACCACTCTTCTCTTCTCTCCTTTTTTCAAATAGAACTCCTGATCTCTTCTCATCTCAATAAAGAACTTCTCCTCGCTTCTCTTCTTTTCACTTCCCTTCTCTTCTCAAAATAGAACTCCTGATCTCTTCTGCTCTCATGATACAACTCCTGAAATCTCTAATTTTCCTACAATAGAACTCCTGAATTTCTTCTCTTTTTACTTCTCTTCTCAGAAACCATGATCTTATCTCAAGATAGAACTTATGATCTCTTCTCATCTCAATATAGAACTTCTCCTTGCTTCTTTTCACTTCTCAAAATAGAACTCCTGATCTCGTCTAAAAATAGAACTTCTCTTCTCTTTTCCTTGATCTCTTTTCTTCTCATAGATCTCTACTCATGTCAAGATATGTCTCCTGTCAGGTTTCTACCATGGCCTGTGACCCCATTGCAGCAATGTATCCTCATTTCCTGTTAGGACAGGAAGTGATGAAGATTTTCTCCAGATGGGACACAGATTGCAACAAAGTACTTCTTTTTCAGCAAAGTGGGGAAGGGTTAGCCTCTGTCAGGTTATATTACTGACTCTTTCTTCTTGTCCTCATGATCACCACTTTGCTCATTTCTTGCTGTGCTGTCATAGGATGTCAAAGGGACAGGAAGTAAGGTGAAACCTCCCAATGAGGGTCAAAGATTGCAAGGCAAATGTCAAAGAAATATTTAGTCTCCTCAAGTCCATCCTAGTCTAATATAAAAACAGTTGGAGTCAGGCTTTCAACATAAGTCCTCTACTTCCCATCCTCCAGTCAGTGTTTTAGGCCTCATTCACTTGGTGGTGTTCGGCCATGGTGCTGCAAGTATACTGCAGATATATGTGGCCAGGATCCCAGGTGTTCCCATTTAGTGGCAACTTAATGACAGCCTGAAAGAAGCCAAGGCTGCCCGTGGCTGTAAGCATGTATCCACATGTACCCACACATCCATCAGTTACCAGCAGTTAGGGATAGATATCCAACCTTTGATGCACATAGGTTGTGTCCAGGACTGCTCATCTGGCTTGCTGGATATGCGCATACATGCTTGCAGCCATGGACAGCTCTAGCCCCATTCAGTCTGTGATTGAATTGTACAGGCTGAGTGCCCCCTGCTGATCAGAACACCTGGGTCCCCAACCACAGGTATCTGCAGTAATCGTGCAGCACCATGGAAGAAAAACGCTGTAGAATGGGAATATATACTTATTTCCTCAGCTTCATTTAGTGGTCATAATGCAGCATTACATTACATTGGACCTGAAAAAGTATGGGCAGTATGTTTGTAGCACCATGGCCGAAAATCGCCATGTGAATGAGACCTTAGACTGGCAGTGGTAATATGTAATTGATGTTTCCATACACATATAACAGCACAGGAGACTTTGAAGGGAATGGGTGTTTTCAGCTTACTCTGGCCACAGGCTAGAGCAAAAGATAACAGCAAATGACCTAACGGGGATATGCCTTTCATAGGTCTAGTCTGTAAAGGGACATTTAAAATCTGTTTTATTGATTAAGTTTCAAATACGCTAAGGGATCTATTTATAGATAAAATGCAGAGCTATACTCCCTGAGAGTTTCTGTGAACATTTTATCTGTGCAAATGGATGCAAAAACAAACATTCTTAGTTCTATGTCTTTTCAGGTCCAATGTAATACCATATTATGGCCACTAGATGGAGCGGAGGAGAATACCAATAAATACTTAGTTCCTTAGCTCCATCTAGTGGTCATACTTTACATTGGACCTAAAAATTAAATATACCAACCATTTGTTTTTGCCTCTATTCGCACAGAGCAAATGTTCACATAGATTCACACCCCAAATGGCTCTGCAAATTGTCTATAAATAGACCCCTGAGTAAGTAATGTGCTTCTCTGACAGGTTTGTGACCATGAACAGCAGTGTCAGTGCCAAGAAGGTTGGGTGCCCCCTAACTGTGACAGCAGAGCACAGCTAGGTAAGTAACAAGTCAAAGCCATGCTAGAGAATTGCAATTATAATAATCTCCTTCAGTCATTATTAAATGCCATCTCATTTGTCTTCCTAGGCTCTGGTTACATTGCACTCATTGTCATCATTCTCCTTATCATAGTCGCGGCTGTATTGTTTATAGTGTACAAGAAGAAATTTCAGCGGAGGACTCATTGGTATGACTGGCAGTGGGGATTCATGAGTTGGCACTACACACTGGAGTCTAGATGGGGCACTTTAGGCTAAAGGGTAAACCGGGGTTACAGGATGTCACGGGGATAAAACCTACTATGTGTTTTTGTTTTATTAAAGGAGAACTATGAGGTAAGTGATCCTCATAGTTCGAGCCGACGTGTGACAATGAAACTGTCACACGTCGGCTCAATAGATCGGGAAGTGAGTGAACACATACTGTCAACAGAATTGGGGGAAAGATAAGGGTTTTTGGAGGGGTGTAAATGACCATCCAGGAGAGATATGTTAAAATAATTGCTTCAACATTTATTAGTGTTAGGTACTAGGGGCCTATTAAGATAAGCCACACCTAGGATTATTATCTCTTGCTAATAATGTAACCACATCTGGACAAACATTGAATAACATTATGATATGTCGGACCAAATGAATTTTAGAGCTGTATAATCAATGAGTATATAAACATATCCTCTGCAGGGATCTGAACACATACTGTCGCTCACTTCTCGATCATCTTCCTGCAGTGAGCGATGACTATCAGTCACGCTCCCTGCAGGAATTCCCCCCCTCCCCGCTCCGATCCTCTAGCGCTGACTGGGGGAACGGCCGGGGGAGGCAGCGGGCACAGCTGGCTCTGCCACAAGATAGGCAGAGCCAGCTGTCACTCACGCAGCTGGGTGGATCTTGACAGTAATGTCGGGATCTGTCCCGTCTGCGGTGGTCTCAGTATAACGCGAGCTGTAGCTCCCGGTATACGGGAGGATGCTAGTATATGTCCTCCCGTGACCCTTAAGAGAACTATGAGAAAAACACTTACCCCATAGTTCTCTTTTAAATTGCACAAACGCATAACATCTGTCTGGAAAAACAGAGTTCCATTTTGATGGACCTGATCGTGATGGATCTGAACTGACACATGTCCGCTTACATCAGACTCCCCATAGACCTAACATGGGTCCGTAATTAGTCTGTACTGAACAGACATGGATGTCACAAGAGTGATATCTGTCCATTTCCCTTTTGCTCCAATCGGCAGGGATGTCAGGGTTTCTTACCCTTCCTTGTCCTGTTGAGCTGTAGCCTGTCTTCTGTTGCAGTATGACTGGCACTGTTCATTCATCTTTGGCGCCCTCTTATGGCCAAACCTGTAAAATCATAATTCTGCAACTACTGACACACTTCTGGCAGCGTCCTGTTTCAGAGTAATGATGCAACACCTGTTCACAATTTAACCATCAGCTTGTCCATTTAGTCTCCGCCCCACGAGTGTTCTGATCTACCAGAGTGCTCTGCTGTTGTTCCTGTTCTCCGTGTACGAACCTGGCTCTGGCTGACTGATCTCCTGGTTCCTGACTCCAGCTATTGTATCTGTTCATCCTGCTCTCAGTGTGACCTGGCTTGGCTGACTACCCGCTTTGGCATCTGACCTCTGGCTTGGCACTGATGACGTCCTTGACTTCCACCATTGTTTTTTTGCCAATTTTGTTTATTGTCATTTTCAATAAACTCCTTTTCTGTCTGGTTTATTGGTTCCCTGACAAGGGGATCTATGCATGGATCCCCTGCTGATCGGAACGGTCAATGTCTGTGTGAAAGGGGCCTAACAAAGTATCTCCCGCTTGACCTCTTCCCATAATCCATCAACAGTGCTTGGTAAGCTGGCCTTCTACTCCGGGGCTACAAACTAAATGGAAGAAAAAGACAGCACAATGTTGAATCTCTACAATCACTTCAATTAGAAACCATGTAACCCTCAGCAATCTGCTTATGTGTTTCAGATTAGGTGACTGAAATGTTATCATTAAGAGGAACTTATGTTATATGCAGACAGGGACATTCATACGATATTAGGGTAGGGGTTCTTGTGTAGGACAGCCCCTACCATTGGGTCTATGCTTTCACTCATTCATTTTGATAGCTCCTGTGGTAACAATTATTTCCTTCATTTGTAGCAGGAGATCTGTAGAATGTCAGTCAGACTTAGCCAACCCAATTTTCAACATTCAAAACGGCACACGAGAGCTTCACAACCCTCATTCCACAACCCCTCTGGTAAGACATGGCACAGTCCATTATATTACCATTGTTTAGCTGCAACACTTATCTGCTCATATCATTATGAGGGCCATGTCACACTTGAGATCCTGTCAATAGTCACAAATTACCAGTTTTTTTTTTTTTTGAAGCCCGTGGACGTGCATCTCAACAAACTTCCCCCTGTGAACAAAAAAAGTGAACCGTGAAATCACAGCACACAAAAACGTGCACAAGGGTGCAAGGTCCTTCCGAAGAAGGGACCCATTTCCCGACCCCCCGGGGCGCAAGGCTCCTGACAGGGGTTGAGATACTATGGTCCACCAACCCGAAGGCCGGTGGACCTTTCCTCTGGGGACCTGCCGAAACAGGTCCCCCATAGTACTTGGCAAGTGGGCTCTCCCGAAGAGAGACCCACTTCCTGGGTGGGAGGAGGCAGAGAACCCCGTAAGAGGCACAGAACCCCCTCCCTACATCAGGAATAGGCCCCGAAGGAACCTGCACCTTCCGCAATCTGTGGGTAATTCAATCAAAAAGCCAATCGTGCATCGTGCATAGAGTGCAATAAATAATACTAAAGTGTCAGTGCACCACGCTGACAGGCCTTAGGGGCCGGAGTGCAAAAATATTGCCCCGGACTAGCCATAAGGCCTGTCCAAGAGGCGTTGTGCAGAAAAAGCAAGGTGGTGTGTGACCAAGTGCACAGTGAGTCAAGTGGGGTCCCATACCCATGTGACTTTCTGCGCACCCCTGGGACGCCACCCCCAGGGGGCACAACACCACGGGCTTCTGCCGCCCCCGAACCCTCGAGCCAGACCAAGCTTCGCATCCGTTCAGTCAGAAAGCCATGTACTGAGCGGTTCCCCTCTCACAGGAAGCCGCCCCACACGCTCTTTCACTCCAGCGAGTACTAAGTAACCATCCCCCGCAAGGACGGTTCTTTTCCCCACCGAAAACTGATAAGAACAGATACTACACTTGATCTTAGCCAAAAGTCACAAATTACCAGTGACGGAATTGCTGTAGAGGGCCAGAGAAATGCTCAACTGCTTTTACTGCGCCAATCCCTTTCAGGCCCGGATAAGCGAGGTGTCACTCCTGTGTTGGCGAGGGAGATTCTTCACTGTTGTCATTAATGACAGAGTAATGCCGCAGAAACCAGAGACAGGATCGCAAGTGTCCTATGGTTCTGGATAAGGGGATATTAAATGGAGCTCAGCCACAAAAATACTTTTATCATAATTTATAACAGAATGCTGGGCACAAAACTTTCATATAATATATTCTGTATAGATTGATGATTTGATGTGTATGACCTAGGCAGCATTAGTTTTTTTTTTCAACTGTGCCGGCAGATGAGAGTCGGGAAGTAAACACACAAAATGCTCTTCTAAATCTTAGAATCATCTTTTCTCCAGCAGAATCCGGGGAGTGCTGAGTACCTTCCTATGCCCCCAGCACAGTCTCAGAAGCCTCAAGTATCACCAAGGTTTCCTCCACAGCCACCGGACCAGTCTCAAAAGCCTCAAATTTACCATGAAAGCTCACCCAAAATGGTAAGTATCTTGTTCTTGATCCAGGTATAGTTGCTAGTTTGTAAGGTCTACAGTATTCCCTAGATTGCATCAATGCGTTTTTAACCACTTGCTGACCATATGTTACATCCCCTTCCCATCCAGGCCAATTTTCAGTATTCAGCGCTGCGGTAATTTGACTGACATTTATTCCGTCATGCAACGCTGTACTGAAATGAATTTTATATATATATACAGGTGAAACTCGAATAATTAGAATATCGTGCAAAGTTCATTTATTTCACTAATGCAACTTAAAAGGTGAAACTAATATATGAGATAGACTCATTACATGCAAAGCAAGATAGTTCAAGCCGTGATTTGTCATAATTATTTATTGGGACAGATAGATCTTTCTTTTGGTGGTATTTAATCACACTTGGGGGGGGTCATGTTTTACTATATTAAGGAACAATTACTGAAAATTTAGAAAAAATATGTTTCTTTTTACATTATGTTAGGAAACAATTATTATTACCCAATTTTTTGGTAAAATATAAAACCAACTAATCTTCACCTCTTCGCAGTTCCTTCATTCACTTCTCTCTCTTCTCTCTCCCTTTCTTCTATTGCTAGGAATGGTCATTGACATTTACTTACTTTAGCTTTTTCTTCAATTGCAGTCATGTCAGAGACCAACTGCTCCACCTCCACCTAGACCACCGTAATCCATCGCTCCACCGCAGGTAAGTTATAGACATGAAATTGTGCCTGAAATGCCAAAGTGCCAATGGCAATGATGGACTGTGATGAACAGCAAAGAAAATATTAGCTTTTAAAAGGAACCTATCGTGAAAAATGAAGATCTTTTATTATTTAATGTAAATGTAAACCTTAAAGTGACATTAAACCCTCCGATTTTTTAACATAAACCAATACTGTAATGTGTGCCTTACTGTAATCCATGGTAGTTTCCCTTCTCTTTGCTACTCTTCCTTTTAAATCCTCATGCTAGTGGCTGGGGCAAGGGGCGCATGCGCGGAGACCAGCGGGCCGGATGTCTGCCCCGTGAGCTCCGCTCCTAGGCGGATGGAGTCCCTGCTCTCGTAGCTCCCGCAGCTGACAGTCCTGGAGCACCGGAGGCATCGGAGTATGGCATAGGAGAGCCGGGGAGATCTCTCTAAGACGCAGCAGGCAAGGAGAGATGGCCGGGAGAACTTCAAAGAAGAAAGAAACGCAGCCACGAACGGGATCAGCAATAGCAGCAGCTAACAGCAAGACAAAGATGGCGGCGGTCCAGAGCCCTCGTGGAGAGAACGGCACAGCACAAAGGGGGAGAGAGGAATCGATCCCTAAGAAGAAGGCAGTGGTGAGTACTCAGTCAAGAAGGGAGCACTCCCCTGCCTCAACGTCCTCATTATTAGAAAGGACACTAGAGGACATGCTCATATTACAACAACAAGCCTCCCTCCCCTCAAGCCCCATAGGTACTGACATTGAGGTGAATTTGGGAGGAGGGATGGAAGATCAGAGCATCCTAGTGCGATTTGCTGAAATGTTGGAACAGGGGCTGCAAAAAATGGCTAAACAGATTACTACCGAGATCAGGACTGACCTACGTGAGCTGGGTATGCGTATAGACACTATAGAAGCAAAATTGGATAAAACTGTGCTGCATACTAATCAAAACAGGACGGATATACAGCAAATCCAATATCAAATGGAGGAAGTATTGTCCAAAGTCGATGATATTGAGAATAGATCACGCCGTTATAACTTCCGTATCAGGGGGCTTCCGGAAACTGTGACTGATTTGGATTTAAATGTGAAGCAATTAATGAAAAATCTATTGCCTGAAGTGGAGGATCATAAACTGGAGCTGGATAGAGTTCACCGGGCCCTCGTGACTAAGAGGAGGGAAGGACAGGCCTGAGATGTGATCGTTAAGCCACATTTTTTCAATATAAAAGAGCAGATTATGCAAAGTGCGAGGCTACGCTCAGAGCTGGTTATGTCGGGGCACGCTATTCAAATCTTTACAGATATCTCACCCGTAACAATACAAAAAAGGCGTGCTTTGAAACCCCTGTTACAGATCTTAATATTAAAAGAAATAAAGTATAGGTGGGCGTTCCCCTTTAGACTGACTTTCGTCCACAGGAGTAACCATTATAGTATTACATCATATGCTGAAGGAGAACAACTGTTGAGTAGGCTGGGATTGCTCCCTGAAGATTGGGACTTATTACAACAGGAAAACAGGAGTTGGACTAGTCATAAGGCACAGCAACCAATATCACCGCTGTGGCATAAATCAAGGGGCAGAATGTCATCCCCACCAGGGGGAGGGAGTTAGAAGGGATGTAGCACGTTTTTTGCTCCCTTTATTTTTTATATAGATTTTTTATATTGCTTTTTCATGTTGCCTTCTCTCTACTTCTCTTTGCCTCTATCAGTAATGAAGCTGAAGGTATATTTAGTAAATAGCAGTTATTGGGAGTAGGGACTTGACCGTCCTAGGTGGTTGTTCGCCTAGATTTGACCGGATTCCTGGGAATTCCCGGGTCGGCGGTTAAATCACGTATTGACGTGGGGTCAATACCCTCGAAGGTAGGAAGGGTGGGAGGGGATCCTGCTCAAGATTTGTGTTATTTTGTTTATGTTTTGTGTAGGTCATGTAAGTCTGTTTTTTGTTTCCTTGTGGACGGCCGTTACCCCTCTCTTCCTGATGTATACCTTAAATTTAGAGGACTGAACATATTCTGTAAGGCACATGCGAACAGAAAAGTAAGATTAGATGCTGGCTAAGGTACCGGTAATACTCGCATCCCATAATGCTAGGGGATTAAATTCCCCAATAAAAAGGAAAATGGCTTTCCAGTATTATAACTCATTGGGAGATGAGATTCTGTTTGTACAGGAAACCCATTTTCCAATAAGCTACCAACCCAAGTACTTGAGCACGCATTACCCGAAGTTTTTTCTGGGCAATGCACCAGATAAGACCAAGGGAGTGGCTATCTGTTTTTCCAATTGAACTAGCTTTCATTCCTTGATGGAGATCAGGGACCCAGGGGGTAGATATCTATTATTGAAAGGACACTTAGAAGACAAGTTAGTTACACTAATACTCTGCACAGGTATAATTTTTTTCGGATATGTTAGATGAACTATCACCACATTTTGAGGGAGTAGTAATTTGCGCAGGAGATTCTAATCTCGCACTAGATAGCACTTTAGATAGAATGAGCTCAAAGAAAGGTAAAAAAGGTTATATTAAGAAAGCAGGCACACAATTTGCGAAATTATTAAATTCTTACTCCCTAATAGATATATGGAGGGAATTAAATCCTAGGGGTAAAGATTACACATATTATTCACAAGTCCACCAAAGTTATGCAAGGATTGATCACTTTTTGGTACAGGTCACTTTCGTACCTTTGGTTTTGTTTGTTAAAATTAAGGAGGCGGTCTGGTCAGATCACTCCATAGTAGTAATGGGATGCGATGCACTTATTGACACAAGGAAAACAAGATGCTGGAGATTAAATGAATCAATACTAAATAAGGAGGATGCACAAGGAGAAATAAACGCACATTTAGAGAATTATTTTAATAATAATGAGACACCTGATATATCGGTCACTATGGTGTGGGCTGCTCATAAAGCTACGATTAGGGGTCGTTTTATAGAATTGGCGACTAGAATAAAAAAACGAACAAATAAACATATAAATGAGCTGGATCTAGAACTACAGAAACTAATTAAAGCACATAAGGCAGCGCCATCAACACAATTACTAAAAATAATAGAGAAAACCCGCCTAGAACTAAATTTAATGTTAACTACAAAAGCAGAGAAGAGTATTAGGTGGTCGGACAACAAATTCTATGCACATGGAGATAAAATAGGAACGCTTTTAGCGAATAAACTTAACCCCAGAATTAGGACCTATTCCATGCCTAAAATACGATGTCAGGATGGCACATATACACTTAATCCACGCAAAGTACTTACTGAATTCCATTCATATTTTTTAAATATATATCAAGAACATACACCAGCAACAGGTAATAGGCTGAAGGATTTTTTAGATGGTATAAGGCTACCAGGTCTCTCCTTAGAACACAGGAAGATTATGGAAGAACAGATAACAGCTTTAGAGATCAAGTCAGCAATAACACAGACAAAATCTGGGTCGGCGCCCGGACCGGACGGGTTGTCGATAGTATACTATAAAAAATTTTCAGAAGTACTGATCCCAAAGATGGTGAATCTAAATTATCTGGATTGCGGGTTAATACATCTAAATCTATGGCCCTTAATGTGAACCTTCCCAGTGATATATGGTCTAGGGTAAAAAGAAAATTTTGTGTTCAATTGGGCTGATGAAGCAGTTCAATATTTGGGAATTAAACTGACAGCATCTTATTCCGAATTATACAACAGGAACTATATTCCTCTGTACCGCCAATTAAAGGAAGATCTCGATAGGTGGAAACATCTGAAACTGTCCTGGATAGGACGTATTAACGCTATAAAAATGACTATTCTCCCGAAAATATTGTATTACTTTCGAGCTTTACCCATCGCAGTACTCAAACGGGACTTACAGACAAGCAGGAGGACTAGGGGTGCCTAATCTATTCCAGTATTATAGGGCAGCACGAATTGTACAGCTTTCTACGATCTATTGTAAGAAGTATCGGCCGGATTGGATCTTGATGGAGTCCTTTTCTGCCTCGGGCTTGTCAATTGATCAGTTAAAGTGGATGACCACGAGACAGAGACCAGCGGTTTTGGCCCCGACGCTCTCGCACTCCCTCTCTGTGTGGGATGGGGTGAGGGAGAGTGGGGAGTTTGTTTCAGGTTATACTCCCCTAGCACCTATCTTTGGGAACCCTAGGTTTGTACCAGGGTGGCACGGCGGGACATTCAACTGGTGGCAGGACAAAGGGCTATATCGTATAGCACAGGGGTTTAGGGAGCGCAGACCTTTGACATTAGGATACTGCCAGGAGACTCTACATATGCCCCAGGGGGAATTGTTTCGATTCAGGCAGTTGCATCACTTTCTGGCTTCGTTGCAGGTCCCGGAGCCCGGCAGACAGTTTACTACAATATATGAGAGATGGTGCTTGGGGGACGAAGGCCAAAGGGGGGGTGTTTCCTTGATTTATTCTCTTCTGGTGGAGACGGAGGAGAAATTGCCTTATATGAAAGCATGGGAACTAGATCTGGAAATTGACATCCCTAGGGAGGCCTGGAAACGCTGCTGTAAGCGGGGTGCCCTGGGGTTAATTAACGTATCTTTGATAGAAGCAAACTATAAAGTAATGGCTAGGTTGTATTTGGTCCCTTCTAGGTTGGCCAAGATTTATCCGAATGTGTCGTCAGCCTGCTTCAGGGGATGTATATATCCGGGTACGATATATCATATATGGTGGCAATGCCCTAAAATTAAGCCCTTTTGGAATAGGGTATATGCACTTATATATAGAATCTTAGGGGTTCATGCTCCAAGGGAAGCTCAATTTGCACTGTTGAATTTCCCGATTCCAGGGATTACTAAGGCGCAGGATAGCCTAATCTCTTTTCTTCTATTGGCAGCTAAAATTAATATAGCGAAAGCATGGAAGACACCAACTGTCTCCATTAAACAGCTTAAATTAAAAATGTCATGGATCATGATACATGAGAGGATGAATAGTAGGCTCGGAGATAGTGAAAAGAGATTTGAGCTAGTATGGTCTCCCTGGATGAAATACAACGGTGTGAGTAATGATATATGAAGTTAGTG